GTGTTACGGTTTACACGAACGCTTTTTGAATATAATTTTAATCATTGTAGTTAACGTTCGTTTCACGCTGGTTTGCTGTTTGGTTGAAACGTATAATTTTTGGAAAAATTTAATAATTGGTTTAGCTCTAGAAACAAGTGTTGAACAAGTGTAGTACCACCGTTTATACTGATGACGCAAGATGCTTTTAACTGGAAAATAATACGTCGATCTGTTACAAGCACTACCATTGTTTAAGTTTAAGTAGTGACACTAAACTTACGAATTATTATTCCCTATACAACAAAAATTATAAATTCAATTCGTTTATTTGTTGCATAGTATACTTTTTCTACGACCGTTAGTTTTTGGGTACATTTTTGCAAAACAACACGAATACATTCGCTGACGCATGGGTGTATAATTAGGTATTTTACAGAAGGGAGTAGAAAAAGGAACCTACACTTCTATTGGCTATTTAAATTAATTAGTTAGTAACTTGTTTGTTTATTTTCATCTATGTCACGATATCGTACTGATGTTTATCGAAATAAATTTTCGCATAAAACAGTCATGAAACAAAAGATACGGATGTTGTCGCCGAATGATTAAGGAATTAAGTAATTTACTTCATCCGAAATCGAGCAAGGGAGATGTAGAAATTTCATCAAAGGGAGCAGAAGAACCTACTGGAAGGGAGTCGAAAACAGCGAGTTTTGCAACGCACTTGAGGGCCAAAGCAATTGTGTAGTTTTCCGCTTCCTTCGTCACCAAATATTTACATTATTACCGAAAGAATGTAAGGTGGCGTTCGGTGTAAATTAAAGTAAGCTCGCACGGAATTTCTATTTACACTTTCGCGAGTGGTCCAATGCGTCATCGATCTTGGTATTTACTTTTCGATTTCGATTCAGGAAAATATTGTAATAATAGTAATAGTAATAATTTTGATTAATTAATTAAATCAAATAAAATATACTTTAAAATATGGGTAACAAAAAATTTGTGCTCGTTGCAACTCGTTACATATTTTTTGACGTCAGTCAGGTAACCAATGCCACGAAAGTGCGGTTAGATAAAAATATATCAAAAAAAGTTATTTGGAAAACTGTTTTGAAGTGACTTTTGCAGATCTAAATATATCTATCGATTTATCTATATTTGGAGTTGATTTTCTTATAAAAGGGGGATCTATTTTAGCGACCTGTATTGATGTTTTGAAAACAAATAAATACGAGGTGATCAAAAACTAACATTCAAAATATATATGACAAAATATTTCAGTCATTTTTTTCAAATGCAAACACTCTATTCTGGTAATTTTATCGTAATTAGTATTTTAAAAAATGATAACTTTGTTAAGATCGCCTATTTGAAAAAAATGCAGATTTCGATTCTGATGGCGAAACATGGCAGAATTTCTTTTTGTAAATTTCATAATTCAAATTAAGTTAGCAATTATCACAAAAGTGATTCAAATGTGTTTAACATTAACTAAAAATAGAACCGATTTTGTCAAAAACATTTTGGCATTTGTTGAACAATATCCAGAAGGACGAAAACCTACAAGAATCAGCCTATAAAAAGAAAGAGATAATTTAGGTAAATAATAAAACCGTCTTATACTAAATCCCATTGTTCTATATTCGATCTATACGTCACACATAATAAACTAATTTTCTAATTTAGTTTGTTATTGTTTTCTCCATTATTTATTACTATTGTTTTTAAAACGTTATATAGACATGTTATTATACTCAGACTAAGACCAGACTAAGAGGGCGAAACATAACAACAACATTTTTGACTTCCTGTGAGCTTGAAGATCAATGTTTGACAATTTTAGCCAACGTAACTTCCCAGGCCACCAAATACGTCACCACACGTTTTTCTGACTACTGTCTTATGTTTCGAATCTCGACGTGTCCATTCTGACGTCGAAGAAACGGCGAATTTGGATTGCCAAAATATCTATTAAAAATTACAATAATTTATCTTTGGCCCATTTAAGAAACACAGTTTTCTGTCTATTGATTTTATATCCTTCATTTTTGTATTATTAGGATTACCGAAAACATGTTTTAATGGAGTTGCCGTGTTCTTATTTAATATTTAGTGTGAAATGAATGGCAATGACATTGAAAAATAATAATGGCTAATATTTTGGAAACTTTTTCATATTGGTAAATTTATGCAAAGTCACCGTTTTTCTAAAAATAAGAAAATAATTAGAAATATATATATATATATATATATATATATATATATATATATATATATATATATATATATATATATATATATATTAGAAATATATATATATATATATATATATATATATATATATATATATATATATATATTTTTTTTTTTTTTTTTTTTTTTTTTTTTTTCACGTATTGATTCACGGATGGAAAAATGTGATGACTCTATATTCCGGGATATCATCGGTTCGCTTGTTGAACTCCGACTGGAATCCTGCAGACGTTTCGCCAAAATCTCACTTGGCATCTTCAATGCTCGCGCTCCGAAGTGTTCGAACTGAGTTTAAGTGCGGACACGTACGAGTGACATGGACGCGAGGCCTCTGAAGATGCCAAGTGATATTTTGGCGAAACGTCAGGCGAATGATCCTACTCCAGGGTCAAACAACGAACGGATGAACACCCGGATTACCAGCAATACACACACACACACACACACACACACACACACACACACACACACACACACATATATATATATATATATATATATATATATATATATATATATATATATATATATATATATATATATATATATATATATATATATATATATATACTTAAAAATACTTAGCAAAATGACCCTGTACTTACTTATTAAATCACCGCTATACTAATATTTATTTCTATAGTCACAATTTTCGCACAATAAATTGAACTGCGATGGGCTCAGAGACTATTAATTTTTTACGTAGAATATAAAAATGTAGAAATATATATAAAAATTGAAAGCAAGAAAGTTGATGTCACGGTTTTTCCGAAGAATATTTCCGACTTGCATTTACGCGTAGTATACAAAAATATAAAGACAGAGTAATTCCAGTAAAACCGGAGTTGCTATTCAATTGCTTTATCTGCCAAAATGTAGCCGTCCTTTAAATATCATTTTTGTTCTATTGAAATAAATTTTTTTTTTATAATATTTAAATTTTTTTTTGCTTCTTTGTTTTGCTGAAAAGTTCCAGACAATAAGATGCAGACGCTTGGTCCAGATACAAGGAGTCACAATTTTATTTTTAGATAATTTTTAATCTTTTGCATAAATTGTCGACTTCTTCACGAGACTTAGTACTTTCGGTTTTCTTATAATTTGCATTAATTTAGATCTTACTTGTTGACTGCTACATGCCTTTTTCTCAATTTTAAAGGCTTTTGCAAAAAAAAAATCCTCAATCATGTTTACATGCAAAACGTCCTTTTTTTCAACATAAATTAATTTTTAAAGAAATTCAACTAACCAACACTAAATATTATTTAAAAGATCAAAATCACAACAAATATCAATGACTCTGAAAAAAAACTGCAACGAAGCATTTTAGACTACGCGTCTACAGTAACTTCAATTTCCTAATTTAAAAAACGCGGCAAAAATCAACTGCTTAGCAGAAATAGCAAATTATGATAAATTATTAAATTCCATCGACATTCTAAAAATAGAATCCACCGTTGCCAAATCTCCGGTCTCACAACGCCGCCTAGACAACGAACCTTTAAACTAAAACCGTATAAAACGTGCCATTTTACCGATTTTTCAGACCATTTTAACATAGCCTAAAATTTGACATGGGGTATTACAGTAGGCTTGGGAAGCGAAAACCATTAAAAACGTTACCATACCAGCAAATGGGCAAGATTTCTGAATTTGGTAGAGCCAAAAATAATTTCAGACACAAATTCAAAAAATTCAAAAACGATTACGATAAACGGCATTTGAGTCACGAGTTTATCTGTCAAGAGCGGAGCGAACGCTTAATAATTAAATAATAAACAAATAAAAGTTTATCAAACGTGACATGACCCTCATAATTGACAAACGTCAAAATTTAAGCCGTTCGGTGAAATCTCCGAAAACATCAGACTTAACCCGTGCTGCATTATCCCGGAAATGTCCGAAGGGCCTCGGATCCGTGGGACAAGAAACTGTCTGCAAGCTAGATCGCCGTATAATTAGCTATTTTACAGAAGGAAGTAGAAAATTAATAATTATCATGGAAAATTTCGTTATTTTTAATAATTTAACGTCTGTCGAAACCCAATGTGTCACTAATCCCACTTGTATTAAATATAAACCCCAACAACTGTTGACATAATGCAACAGAGGGTGTTTGCTTGCTTAATATAAAGGGTAGTATGGTATATAAACATTGGGTTAAAAAACAACTCTTAAGGATGTATCGCGCTACAAATATGACGAAAAAAGAATTAGGTAGAACAAGTTGTACTTTTTGAGAGAGATTGAATTCCAGTACCCCTATCAGTCTTCATAACTAAATATAAAGAAATGACGCAACGACACAAAAAATATATATTTTTAATATGTTATTTAGAATCTATTCCCTCCGACAGTTTTAAGAGAAGTGTACTTCGTATCATTTTGTATTTAGTTTCAAATACAATACGCATTTTTAAATATAGACCCTTCATTTTATCTTTTCGCGCCAAATTTTAACAAAACAATGTAGCAACAGTGCCTGGTTTGGCAACGTCGGTGCAATATATGAATTTGTGATAAGAATGATCTGAAAAAGGAGTTTAACTGTTTGGTTGTATAATGTTTATCAAATAAGCTAAAACTTATCTGACCTGATCTGATGAGGTGCTCGTGTTTCAAAAAAATGTAAATACTTCAAAGAATATTAACAATAAATTTAAGAAATTGATTTAGTTCAGAACTATTAAAACTAAACCGTTTTCACAAAAATAAATTTATTCGAAAAAATGTGAAATTTGTTTTACAGTTTACAAAAAAAAAACATTTATTTTCAGTTTTGGGAAAGAAAATTATTTAACATGAAATATTCTGCATGGTCAAGAACATAAACTTTCACTGCAAAATTTAAAATTAATCAAACTTGTTCAAAATAAAATGAAGAACCAAGTTCTTATTTTCTTTAGTCCATCGAATACGACCACTTCGGGTTGTGGAAAAATCGGAGAGCATTTTTTTACAATTCTTCTTTGACAGTTGAGGTAGTAAGTCATCTGAAATATTAGAAGGAAACTCTTGACAATTCTTCGTTGAGGGTTCAGGTAGTTCATTATTTTACCTTGGACTGTTTGTTGAACTATCTGCATCACGAGACTCTAAAATATCCCTCATTTGTGTATTAACACAAATATCAGTTTTTTCAAGTTTCTTGTCGTCATCTTTTTTAGAATCTCTTTCATCGTAGTCTAAAATATCCTCAGTCACGTCTATATCCCCTAAAGATTGTCCTTTGAGCTCATCACCTTTTCCTGCGTTTAATAATAAGAGTACTTTTGCCACTTTCGCAGCCTGGTAAGTGTCTTCAGCTAGGCTTAAAAAGCAAATAAAAATTGAAAAGCACACTGCAAAAAAAGGAAAAAACGAAACAAATATTTAAAAAAATAACTTATACCTGTAAAACTCTCTGTGTGTCTTCTCCTTGTGTCCCATAAAACGAACAATTCATCGTCTTTAAAAGTTCATTAACTGCAAAATTGTGGCTATCTGTTTTCTAAATTTAGTTAATGTTAGTAGCTCAGGTTTTTTAGGGCCACATGTTTTTGCGAATTTTCTAACTAAATAGGACCCACACATCCATCTGTCTGATGAACCAGGGTTTGCAAACACGTACTTATTCTTCTTAGGAACAATATCAACATTTTCTCGTAATTTTAATAACAAGTCGATATATATTTGCATTTGTTTTGTAAAAAGTATTGGGACTGGTTTACTTCTTTTGCCAAAGACCATTACTCTTTTGAAATATTTGCTCATAATTTTTTCAAACTCTGTAAGAGCGTTTAAAAATTCCCCGTGATTTAAAGAGTAATCTCTTTTATAAGAATCGATGTCCAAAAATTAGATTTCGCCTATCAGTTTCCTATTAAAAACCAAAACAAGGCAAAGCGTACACTCAGCAATAATTTTATAATTAACAATTATCTCCTTATTTTCTTGCAAGTTTTGATATGTTTGTGATGCTCTCGTAGTAATATAATTATTGAAGCATTTAATATCTTCAGTCATTGGCACTAACTTGGGCCTTCCTACCTTAACCTCATTAAGCAATGGCTAGTTATTACATCTCAAATTTCAGATATTTCTTTCAATTTTTGTTCTCTTTCTTTATCAGACATTTGGGGAAATATAAGATTTCTTGTCAAAACAGCTCTTCTGGCTACGTCGCAAAGAAATTTCAAATTGGTTCTTCAAGTGTAGAGCCAAGGATGATGCTTTAAAGATTTTCTTGTCACTGTCATAATTGCAAATTATTTTGGAAGCAGCTACAATATTTTCATACATATTCGGTTTCAAAAAATCAAGAGCATTCTGTATTGAAGTAAACTTTTGTAAAGCTAATTTAAGTCGAGCCATTTCTCATAATCTGTTTGATGCGACGATATTAATTTGTTTTCTTTTGTGTTTATTTAAATACGATTCACCGTAAAGACATATTAGGGCATCTTTTTTTGCTGTTAAACTAATCTCATCTCCCCTCATTACTGGAAAAACTTCTAACTTTAAACGGCTTTCGTTTAAGTAATTCCCAAGTAAATCAGTTGCTGTTAAGAATGTTTGAGATTCAGAAAGATGTTGGATTTTTGAACCACCTCTAGTTTGAAAACTCGATGCTGCACTTTTTTTTTGTGTCTCCATAAATAAGTCTTTTTGTAATAACCCAAACAACCATTGCAGGGATAGTAGTCTACAGACAGATTTCCTTACAGGGTTTAAACGGGTTTTCTCGGATTTCAATATAAAATTTCCTTTTTTCGTAAAGCTATTATGGCTAGCCTCCTTTCCTTACTTTGACTTTTCATTTCGAAGATCTTTTCAACTGGTTCTTCGTCGTAGTGTATTCTTTTTAAATGACGCGAGAAATGTCCGACATCTTCGAAGCAAAATGGACACAGATTTTTTTCAGCAGTCGTTTTAATATTTTCAGGAGAAGTGATCAAAAATTGTGTTTCCTGTAATAAAAAGTTAAAATATTAACAAGATTCGACAGCTTTCAGCCTAACATTGTGTATATTGACAAAAATTCCTCTTTGTTTAGTTGCATACATTCCGGGCGATGCGTCGCCTGAAGATATGGAGGGTGTTCTGGATGTATTATAACAAATTAATACAGATGAGCGAACAGTCAATTTTAAGAAAAAAAGGTTTCTATTGGCCCATTTAAAACTTACATTAGCGCCCCATACATGGGCGGACTATCCGTACAAATCAGAGACCTAACAATTTGATTCGGAAATATGGAGAATATTTAAAAAAAAACACAGTTTCGATACTAAATATTTACTTTACCATTATTAAGCCAGAAATATGAGGTATTAATGAAGTATGTAGGGTATGAATAGTTCCTTGGTTAATTTTAAGATACAGATTTTATGTCATCGTTTGGAAGACCCTTCGTTCTTGAGGTACAGGGTATTAAAGTTTTACTTTTTTTCTCTAAATAATATTTGAAGTAACGAGTTACAATTTCTACCAAGTACAATTTTAAAATTGCATGCATCGATTAAATCAAATTTAAATATTTCGATAATGTTTACTCATAACTCAACATAAAAATTATATAAAAATCTAATCGCCAAATTGCGCTACCCGCTAACTTTCACCGCGAAACCCAAAGTCCAAACTTGCAAAATTTTTATGTACGAAATATTATCGCCTCGTATCTGGCTCGTGGTTCGGCACTCCCCCTAAAAGACGCTTAGAAAACGAAAAAGTGGTTCGCAAAAGGTAACCGCATGAAACCAGTTTCATTTGATGATATATCCCAATTGCAATATTTATATTTCTGCCATTTCTTGATATTTTTATTTAAAATTTCAAAGTATTTAAAGGAAAGTTTTATTGGTTAAAAATGTTGAAAATATATTATTTAAAATCGAGGTATTTTTTAATAATTATTCAAATTTTTAAATAATAATTTTAAGAATTGGCAAGAATACAACGAATTAAATAAAAAAAATTATTACAATTTTTCTCGATTTTCAACATGTTCCATAAAAGTACGTTTGACTAAATTTTGCAAAAATATGTCATTTGGGATATATTATTAAATGGAATTGGTTTAATTTTACCAACCACTTAAGTCGAAAATATTGAGGTACGCCGAAGACCACCGATATCTTTATGAATTTGGTTGATGGTTGATAACTTTCATCAGGGTCCTTCTCCGGATTCGTGGGTCGATTAAACACTTTCGTACCCTCTATAAAATTTGGAATTTAATTTGTTCAGTTTAAAACCACAATGAATATGGGACGTGCAATGAATTTTATTTTTCCATATGTTAAATTGGTTTAATAAAGGTAATACCGCGGAGGGCAACAAAATTTAGGGCTGCGTTTTTCAGAGCGCGATAGTTCATCCACTTTTTAGTTTTTCGCCTTCTACTCGAGAACTATGCACTTTAAGTTAAGTTAATTTTCTACAAAACGCCACCTTATTGGGTGGAATTTTGCATAAAATTAATCCAAAGAATTATGTCAAAAAAGTCTGTTTTTTATATTTTCTACTGTAACTTTTTTCTGAGTGGATTTGATAAAATTTCTGTTATAATGATGATAAGTTTCTTTCTACAAATAGATTTATCCATTTCAAATATAGTTGAAATTTTAGCAAAGAATTTTAAATTTTAAAACACCCAAGCAGATAGAAGACAAGATGTTATATGATGAATGTTAAGAATATAATTTCACCTTAAATAATAAGTAAATTTTTATTTTCAATTTAAAATATTTAGTTTAATTTAGAACAAACTTCATTATTCATTCATTACTGACATTAAATTACTTTCGGAGAGTTTATGAATTAAATAAAACCGTATTATTAATTAAGAAGCTAAAGTTGCCCTAAAGAAACAAAAAACGAGAAAAAATCTAAAAACTTTAATTAAATTTGAAATACAGTATCTAAGTTAATAGAGCATTTTATAATAAGTTCTATGAACTTTCTTTTTTGCGAGCATTATTTATACATAAATCAACTTATAAAAAAGTTATATGTGAAAATATTTAAAAAAGAAAATTTGTATTTTGTTAATTTATTCTGATATAGTTTATTGGGATTATTTTTGCAAAAATCCACGTTGTGTCATTTTTCGAGTTGTAGCCGAAAAACAAAAAAGTGGACAAACTTCCCCATTCTCAAAAATACACCTCCTTATACCTTCTTTTTGGAACAATTTAACATATTTCTTGAACCGCTGATTTTTTCGAGATAATCAATAGCCTGTAGAATTTGAAAACAAAATTATTACACAAAACCGTATTTTCTAGTGCGTTCATTAATGACTCCAAGGTCTTTAAATCTAAGAAGACATACCTATCTTTGATTTACATCATTTAGAACATTCCAACATATTATGACTGTTTGATAATCAATTTTATCCAGGCCTATGCTGTAGGTACTTGTTATTATACATGAATTTACCAAATATTAATTATAACCATTAATAACTAGTGAATAATTATTTCATTATTCACTAGTTTCACAAACTTCTAGATTCAAGTTATTTTAATTTGAAACGTAATATTCTATACAAATACTTACGGAGATTTTCATTTTCAAGGGCTTCGTTGGCATTCTCTTTAGACATATTAAAAATTATTGAACTTTAACCAAGAATACTGCCACTTCTATCTGTTTGATTATCTGTTGTGTCTGAAATATACTCGCCAGTAGAAGATTCAAACGTTGTCATAATTTGTTTGATTAGATGTAGGGTTAATCATATTTTTGGGACATTCTTCACTCTTGTATTGTCGAATCATCTCGATTGTGGCATCGCTGCTTTCAGTAGTTATTTTGTCACTTCTAATTGTTTGATTATCTGTTGTGTCTAAAATACACTCGCCATTATAAGGTTGTTTGGTGGTAATTTGTTTCATTAGGTATAGGGTTAATCATATTTTTAGGACATTCGTCATTGTATTGTTGAATCATCTCGATTGTGGCATTATTGCTTTCAGTAGTTATTTTTCTACATTCAAATAGATGACCTTCTTTATAAGCAAGTAAAATTTGCAATTGCTCTTTTTTGGTGCTTCTTTTGGTAGACTTATATTTTGGAAGATCTAATAAATTCTTCTCTTTGTTTGTCATTAGTGTTAACATTTTCTTTCCCCTGGTACCCATTTTATATTCCTGCAAATACACAAAATAATTGGGGTAATAGAAGGCGAAAACATAGCATCTGTGAAAAAATTTTCCGTTTCAATTTTTTGGCAGTCAGGTTAAAGTTTGTTTAAACAAATTTTAAAAAATAGGATTTTCATTACTAGTCCAGTAAATCCGTCAAAATAAAAAACATTCAAGTCACATCCGTACTAGGTGCATTCGATCAGGATAAAGCCATTCTTTCTAGATGACGCATTCTAGGACACTTTCGTGCATTCATTTTTACGCGTCTGATGCAGTTAGTCCGGATGTGGCTATAATTTTTTTTGCCTTTTTCACGACGGATTTACCGGACTATTTTTATTTTTTATTTACATTATAAATAAAAAAGTTTCCATGCATCATGCCGCTAAAATTAACCGTTTTTTAGTTAAAAACAATTTAAGTTGTAAAAAACATTAAATTGACAATTTTTAACTCCCGATTTTGAGATTAAAAATTATTATTTTTGAGGTTGACTAGTGTCAAAATTAAAGTTTGAGAACGAACATGTATTTGTGAACATGTTATAAATCTTATAACGCATTTTAACATTACTTACCTTCGATTAGAACGATTCACACCCGCATATCAATTTACTTTGGTTTTCGATCACAACATGGGCATGCTTTTCTTAACTCTTTTAAACTGTTGCTTTTAGAATAAAAAAGTTATCTCTATTGTTTATGTAAGTGGGCTCGGCATGTCTGCAAGGTATATGGGGAATGTTAACGTTTATTGAATATCTCAATTATTTTTTTTACCCCTCAAGTATTCCTTTGTTTTTTCGCATGTATTACGTCATAGTTATTTACTAACAATTAAAAAAAACATGTTGGGCCTGAGGTTGCCTGAAGAATATGCGGGCCTGACAACGACGGTTATATCAATTATATATATATATATATATATATATATATATATATATATATATATATATATATATATATATATATATATATATATATATATATATATATATATATATATATATATATATATATATATATATATATATATATATATATATATATATATATATATATATATATATATATATATATATATGTCTTGAATTTTCCTAAAAATTAAAAAATGTCTTAATATACAGAATATTCTATTTAAAATAAGTTATTTTCAAAGTGAATCCATACAACTGTTGCATTTTTTTTAATGTTTTTCGCGAATCATCCGAACTGAAATAGTTAGATTTAGTTACTATCTATTAAAAAACAAATTGAATTTATATATTTTTCAATCACAATTTTGTTTTTAACTTTTAACATCAATTTGCATTTTTTTTAATACGATCGGCAAACGATGGGACTCAAGCGTGGCTTTACCGTTTCCTTGCTAAATAAGCATTTAAAAATTCTCTGAAATAAACAAACGAAATAACGGATCAATATCCCAAAGTTGAAAAGCTCCAGGTTTGCAAAATTGTCGGCATTTAATATTACAAAGTTAGTTGTTTGACAATAGATTGGCCGACAAATTTTGTTTCCGCGAAAATGTGTACACATTTTCAAGTCTAGCAAACGCATTTGGTGTCTGGTGATATATTGTTAGAACTGCGAAATAAATCGTTGAAGCGCTCAAATAGGTTATTTTACAGGCTTAGGACAAGCTTAGCAAATAGATTGCCACCACTTATCGCCAAAAAGACATTAAAAGTGTGCTCAGCATCCGAGTTTTAAAACCTGGCATGTCGCCAACATAAAAGTATTCGAGGGAAATGGACGTTTTAAATCTTTTCATTGAATATGCATATCATCGTAAATGGATATAAGTCACACGCCCTGCGAATTGGCCGAATATAAACCGCACGATTAAATCGAAGTGTCAACAGAATTCCTTTGGACAAGACACAACGTTTCATACCTACATGTACATGCATTTCTAGATTGAACTCGCATAAATAATAATACCGATGTTGTTGTTTTGAAAAAATGTAGCCAAAAACTAATGGTAGCACAAAAAGTACGGCAGTAACACATTGATAAACTTTTTCAGTCACTCGTTAAGTAAGCACCCGTTTCGCTGCGCTCCGCTCGTGCCAACTGAGACTCGTGACTAAAATGGCGTTTATCAAATTTGTTGCATAATATACCATTAACACTCTGTAGCTCATTGATAAGCGATATTTTACTAAAGCATAATTGTCTCAAACACTATGTTCACCAGTTTTATTTAGTATGCTTTTTGGAGCATTTATTGCGGATCACCCTTATATAGATAGAAATGGCTAAAAAACATTCTGAATATACAAAACCTCTATAATCAAAATTACTAACTAAATTTGTTAAAGTTATCTACTTGGTAATTTAGAAATTATACTCTTTGAAAATATTAACCGGTAACAAATATTCTCAAAAGTTTTTCTGTATAATGTACAACGCTTTCTTGCTTTGATAAACTTCTTATGCTTTACTGTCCTATAAAACAAATAATAAGAAAACACCTATTTATGAGAAGTAGCAAGATATATGCAAAGTAAGCAAAAAAGAAATATAGAGGTAACGTTTTGAAAGCAGAATCAATCATGATGCTTATATATTCTAAGTAAAGTTCGCGTAAAAGTTGCCGGTGCATTAAAAAGTTCCTCTTTATTCCACACGGAGCCCATTAGGTATCTCCTAAAAGACAAGTTGCATATTCCAAAAAAGTAGAAATATTTTCTCGTCGCCTAGTTTATCAAACCTTACGAAAAATGATGGAAGAATTTCATTAAAGTTCGGTCTCGGCTTTAAACTCGTTTTGTTGGTTTTGGTATGACGCCTCGTCGGTGTTCCATTTTACTTCGGAAAGTAGATTTAAAATTGCAATTTATTTTTATTAGGCGGATATTAATATTATTGTTTTACGACCCTACAGTGAATATAGATTTTCTCCGCCTGGGCAATAAACTACAGGCACTTGCGATCCAAAATTCTCGATTTTGAACCCCCGATCAGAGTAAGTTGGGGGTAAGAAGAAATAAAATCTAAAACATCCTCTAAATATTTAATTCATTCCACAGATTAAATTAACTTAAAGCTTCAGGAAATTAAAATTTAATCTTATCTGCTGAGTGAATAAAAAAAGAAAAATTTAACTCATACCTATACAAGGTGGGCCAACTAAGATATTCATAGCACTGCCAGCCCTCACAGTAATACTCCAATAAAGAACTTTTTGGGACTATGGCGACTAGCTAAATATAAGGTTTTTAAAATAATAATTTCGTATGCTTTTAATAAATGGGACACTTTTAAAATACTTCATTACACAAGGTATGCTGTAGTGGTCTTAGCCGTAGTCTATAGGCGTAGTATTGTACCTATTATTATCCAGATTCTCGAGAGTGGGCGAGTAGACTGAAAGGTGGTTGACGTACCTATGCTTTATTCTTTAAAATTAAAATTACACTTATTTTCCGGCGGTTGTTTGCAAAAATCTGAATTTGAAATTCGAAAAAAAATTATTTCATTTGGCTCACTTTAAATAAGAATCGATCTCGGAAGGATATTGGAAAAAAGGATCTACTGGATATTGTAAATTTAAATAAACATCTTTGTAAGAAATTTGTTGTCGACGAAATCGCTTCAAAACGAAATATAACAGTAGAAGGCGAACCTTCCGTTACATCACTGTCAATTAAAATCCATAGAATTGGTATAGGCGCAAAATAAAAGGGTTTGTAACAAGGGATAACACTTTTGAAATAAGAAATAAAATAAACACAAAATCTGAAAAGAAGTTCTTAGGAAGCTGTTTTGGTTCAAATTTACGTTAATCCATGAATTTGTCAGTTTAATATCCGCGCATCATGTATTCTGCAACATTTTATTTTATGCACTTGGTACTCCTGAGGCATAACGCTCTTTGATTTTCAGTTATAGGTTATGTTAGTTGGAGCTTCTATGTTAAAAGAGAACTGATAAAAATGTCAATGTAAATAGAAAAATATCTTCGAAAAGTGAGATAAAAATGGGTTCTGGTATGTGTATCAATAGATAGCTAGATTATATTTATTATCCCCAATACATTACATTATGTATCAAGAATTAACAACACCGAAAATACAACACTAAAGAGCCGACCTAATCCAATCTCACATTCATCGAGGTTCGTTTAAAAATTCAGTTAATGTATAATATGACTTTTTAATAAGGAACTATTTCAGTTTTAGTTCTAGTATTTCAGGTCCCACAAAGTAAGATCAAGTCCAAGTAATTGGTTCAAACATTTGATGCCCCTATTGTTAGAATTTTGTTGGCATATTGATAATCTATAAAAAGGAGATTCAATGTCATTTTTTGTTGGCATATCATAAGTGTGAACCTCAAATATCTGTACTAGGAATTCCCTTTTATGTGAATTATAAGACAATATAGATAAAGTGCTCTCTGCATGACAAGTTGATTTATTTGCTATGGTTCGGGGTAATCTTTTCTGCACCAGGAAAACTTGAAGGGCATTTGACTCTTATTTTTAGTACAGCGGATATATCATACTCAAGTTCGATCTACTTCATGCGGCCATGTAAAACAATAATCGATCCGACTTATTATTTTAAGAAAAAACGGCTCGCTAGGGTTGTCGACAGTTTCCGCTATATTTTTAAAGTAAATATAAAACGTATTTGCAATAATATTAAGGGTACGTATGTTTCTTAGGAATTTTGATGTGGTGTCTAAAGTTTCGAAAATACCGTTACTTTTTTTTTTACCGCGTGTACCCTTTAGGATATTGCAGCATGTTTTATTTGTGTTGACCTTATTTTCCTCTAGATTAAAAGTCGAAGTTGTAAGTATTTTCGGTGTACGCTGGTACGTTTATTCGTTTTGGTATACGCGACATTTCCTGGACCATATTTGAGAATTTTTTGGTTTCTTGCGTACATATTTTTTTGGTAATGCATAATCGAAAATGGCTTGGAATTTCCGACGAAATCAATTAAACTGTCTACACACTACACAATTACTTAATTAACGCCTTTTTTTTTTTCTTTTTTTAACACTGTCATGTTTTTCTTTTTGTATTTGCGCAGTGGAAAGGGACCCAAACAAGAGAAGGGTAAAGCCTGTCGAACAAGCTTGCGTTTTAGATTTTGATGAAGAAAGTAGTGACGATTCAGATTTTCGAATCGAAGACCATCCCGACGTTAGTGATGATGATGATGATTCTCTAGATAGTCATGGTGATGGAAATGGTAAGTTGTGAATATCACATTAAATGAAAGTCACTACAAGAAATTTTGGACTGATTTATCCAGTTTTTGTGCAGTTATTTATTGATATTGATTTTCAGAAAATGATAGTGAAGAAAATGGTGAAGAATCTGATGGATCAGACTTAGAAGCTTTAAGAGGCTTAAGTCTTCCTAATACAAATGGGATTTCTTCTATTGCTGATGTTATTGAACAAGCAACTATTCAGTCAAGGCTTAATGTAGGTCCTAATTATTTTTTTTTTTTGTAGTAGGCCTCAATTGCAAACTTTCCCCCTATTTAACCACCATTTGCAAGTAATTAAAAACTATTTTTAGCTCACTGAAAAGGATGCTCAAGTTTTAATTTGCTGTGGTTGTTTGGGTGACCAAAGTGATGGTATAAATGAAATTGTTGAATGTGATAGCTGTGGAGTCACTGTCCATGAAGCATGCTACGGTGTTTCTGATTCAGCTAGTTTGACAAGGTACAAATATTTACTAAAATTCATTTATTATTACAATTGCTTTGATTATTTCAGTACGGACTCTCTCTCTCCTACAGCCCCATGGTTTTGTGAAGCATGTAGAGCTGGTGTCATGGAACCTATCTGTGAATTGTGTCCAAATTCTGGGGGCATTTTTAAAGAAACTGATGTTGGAAAATGGGTTCATTTAATTTGTGCATTGTATGTTCCAGGTAAAAATAAATTTTCTTCGTAACCCTTCTTTAAAATTTATTCTCTTTTGTAATTATTAGTAACAATATCTTTTGCAGGTGTGGCATTTGGAGAAGTAGATAAACTAACTAGTGTTACACTGTTTGAGATGCCATATAGCAAATGGGGTGCAAAAAGTTGTAGCTTGTGCACAGATGATCGTTTTGCTAGAACAGGTGTGTGCATAGGTTGTGATGCAGGAATGTGTAGAACTTATTTTCATGTTACATGGTGAGCAATGCTGCATTTGCATTATGTGTAAAATACAGGGAATTCCCTTATTTTTAGTGCTCAGAGGGAAGGATTCTTATCAGAAGCCCATTCAGAAGAAGTTGACCAAGCAGACCCATTTTATGCGCATTGTAAGCTCCATTCTGATAAAACTCTTGTGAAAAGAAGAAAAAGAAACTATTTGGCGCTACAGCTTCGAACCCACTATAGGAAAATCCTTTTTGAGAGTGAGGGTCACATGGACACTCCAGAACAAGTTAGAATTCAAAGGAAATTAGTAAAACAGAAAGTGCATTATTTGGAACACAAAAAACAGAAGCAACCACCATGGGGTAAATAGATGTAATTTTCAGCGCATATAAATGGACATTTGATAATTTTTTTCTTTACCAAAAATTGTCTTAGTACCCACCCAGAAGATGCCGAGACTAATAACGACCAGTGCATCTGCAGTGCGTAAACTGTTACGCAAAGCAGAATTAATGGGCATTAATACCATTGCATTGGAAATGCAAGAAGCGCAAACCACTGCTCTAGTAGATGTTCGGAAGAAATGGCACATTCCTCCTGCTTTCACAGTTGAATTTATTGCTTACTATTTAGACAGAAACGATCGTCTCAAGGATATGAAAAAATCATTGGAAACTCTAGTGGAAGACAACAAGCTTTTGTTAGACGAACAGCAAGAATTGAGAGGAAAATATGATAATGTGAGCTTACACATATCTCAAGATTGTTGTTTTCTTTCGTTCAAGGTGTAACTACTAACAGGGGCATGCCTAAACTAACTCACATATAATGTCAAACAATTGTTATTGGTAATTATTGCCATTAAATAATTGGTTTTTGCAAAAACGTATTATTTGTTTTTTCTCATATTTTGTTATGACTGCTTTGAATTTTCCATCTCACTTAAGAAATTATAGGGACCGCCTTGCACACTTCCATAAGCATGCCCCTATGATATGTAATTTTGTTGATTAATTAATTTATTAATTATCTTTTTTAAAACCACTTAAAAACACATTGTGAATCCTAATCCTAAAATACCAAAATCGACCTTTCAAAGAGTATGATGATCTTTTGGAAATAATAAATAAATATAAATTTATATTATTGTTAACACAGCAGGTATATTAATCAATAAAATATTTTCTTTAATAGGTCTTGAAGAAAAGCAGTGAAGTATCCACCAAAAATATAGATCTTAAAACAACAATTCATAAGTACCATTCTGCAATTCTGAGTGCATGTCCTACAAAAAATCTTCCGGACATAAATGACTTGGGAAAACCATCAGTAGCTAGGGCCCCTCAGCCCATGATGGTGCCTACAGCTGCTGCTCTAAAGATGGGAGTTGGATTTCCGCTTAAAAATATTCCAGGCGGTCGGACTGAGAGAATTTTGAGTAGTCATGCTAAGCAGCAAGGTATACTAAGCCGCCACACAAATATGCCATTAAAAATAAAATTGATTTTAGACCCATTGATGTTGAATGAATGTGGAATATGTCGTCAGCGTCATGATCAGCATATGTTGGCAAAATGTGACACATGCCACCTTTATTATCACATGAACTGTCTAAATCCCCCTCTTTCACGGTTGCCGAAAAAATCGAAACTTTATGGGTGGCAATGTTCAGAATGTGACAAAAGTTCAGACTCTGAAATAGAGGAAGTCAAAGTATGTATTTCCTCGTCCGGAATTGACCATGGTCAAATTAACTTACGTGTTTTGTAGACCCCTAGAAGGAGCCGTAGTCGGTATAGCCGCGAACATGCTTCTGATCCGGAAACCCCTTCAGCTCCGAAATTAAAAATTAAACCATTGGAATTGCAACAACTCGTTATGGAAGCTAGTCCTCCTCGTAAGCTGAAAAAAGAGCAAAGGATCTCTTTGCATAGTGACTTAAGTTCACCTGAAAAAGGAACACATGCTTTGCGGCAACAACCAGCTTCCTCCGATGGAGATATTCATGTTGTCTTGGAAAACGATTTCACAGAGAGTCATAAGTCGGCCAAAAAAAGAAGACGGGAAAAACATAGAAATAGGTAATATTCAATGACATAGTACACAGATGTTCCTTAATTGATTATGTGTTGGAAAACCTAGTAGAAATTTTAAAATTTGGGATTCCAGTATTGATATGTTTAAGATTGCAGCACTTCCCATTATGCCAAAGGAGAAATTGTGAAAGTAAAGTTACGAAAGTATCAACTGCTTTCGTTTCGTTAGCTCTGTTTTAAAAAGTTTATTTGCAATATTTTGAAAACTATAAAAACTATAAATAAAATATATATTTTTGCCAATAGATTGTGAAAATAAGTATGAATTTAATTTTTATTAAAATAAAAAGAAATAAAAATATATATGGTAAAAAGCTATTACATTCGTGATATTATTCAGATATAGCCCTGAATTGGGAGGAATGGGCAAAGAACATAAACGAAAAAGGAAGAAGAAAAGTTTGGACATGGAAGAAGCGCTGCCTCATCCCCGGATCACCATAAAGGTTTTATTTGGTTAACTTCTTGTTAGCAATTTCACGTACAAGCGCTTTTCATAGATAAAACCCATACCATTACCAGCTGGCGAAGTAGCTTCTGAATCTAACCCTCAATGCTTTTATGTGCCAAATGAAGCTGATGATAATGCACCTCCTCCGCCACCGCCAAAAATTATTCCTGCCGTAACTACTCACAGTTCAAATGTAAACGCCGAACTGCGCAAGACCAGAAAAAGCCGAAGCCCTCGGTAATATCCAGCTCTGTGTGTTTGTCAATAAACTGGAGTTAATTTTTCTAGCTTATCTTCAGAAGTTAGCGTTATACCGATAATCAGAAAAGATTCCGGTCTGCCAAATGTAAAGACTAATAGAAATATGGCGTTAAATTCTTGCGACGTGTGTCGGGAAAATGGATCTAATGCAGATTCTGTCAAGTAAGGCTTTGATTTTACATTCTATTTCTTATGCACTTTCAATTAATATTTTTAAGGTGCGACGAATGCCAGAAACTGTATCATTTTTCATGTCTGGATCCACCTTTAAAGAAGACTCCAAAAAGAAGAGGTTATTCATGGCATTGTGCAGACTGCGATCCAACTGTAAGTCCTGTATTGTTTTACTTTAGATTACCAATATTTTATTTATGGATTTGTTGTAGGCGTCAGAATGATTGCCATCATGGATAACTTCTCATGTTTAATAAGAATTCAGTGAATTATTTGTAATTCTAAAATAAATGTTTCTTAACAACTAATTTTGCTTGATTACTGCAGATGTGTGCACTGAATTGGGGGCATAGAAAGTAGCGGATAAAGATAATAAAACACATTTCAAAAATTTAATAGAAACGAACACAGTTCCATGGTAAATAAATAGAAACATTTGAAAAATAAATGTTAAACATTAATCATCTGAAATCTAAAAAATTTATCACAGACACATTTGTATCAAAATAAAGCAAATCCTTGTGAGCTTCAGGAATCGGCCAACCACCTACATATAGAGACTCATCTTTTTTGGCAAAATAAATCTTTGCGTGACTTCCTTGTTTACACTTGTTTAAAAGCTCTTGTATTCTACTGTTTCCAACAACTGTATTTTGAAAGATAGAGATGAATAGGAATAACAGTTGATCATTATATTCCAAAAAGTCCTTTAGAAATGACAGGGAGTGGATATCTGCACACTCACATTTGATAAAGATTCTTTGCAAGGTACCATGAGGTATCTGTCCCAAAGCCAAAAATAATTTGTCAAGGTTGATGTGAATATTTTCGTAACTAAAAATATTTAACAATATTTAAACATTGCCATTTCGATTTACAGATTTTATACCCGCCACAAATTACCATTTTGTTAATTACATTTATGTGGAATACATATTTAAAAAATATTTTAACCAATACTAACTTACCAAAAATCTCTTATCTTCTTGGCATTTTTTAATGACTCATATACATTGACATTAAGGTTCTCGTTTGAACCCATACTTACAAGTTTTAAAGATTTCAGTTCTGAACAATTTGCAAAAATCTGCAACAAATATTCATTCAACATTCGAACTCCAAAATCAAAAAACTTACATCATTTAAGAATTTTCCATCAAGATGCACTGGAATTTCCATTGTTAACTTTTCCAATCTAGTAAACTTGCTTATTAAAGGAAAACCCCAAAGAATGGTAATGTTACAGCTTATAAACAAGTACATGTCAATAAATTTATACTCATTTATAAAATTCACTTACTTTTGGCAACACATGATTTCCAATTCAGTTAAATATTTGCAATTTAACACAACATCTTCAAATGGATACTTTCTGTTTGTCAAACTTTGGATTGACTGTTCTTTTGTGTCTTTTCGACCTAGGTGTAATTTTATTGGGACATATCCATCTCATTTATTATGAACATACTTACATTGTAAAACACAAGACTTCAAACTAAGTTTTTTCAAATTTTCACAATTTTCTGATTTTAAAATATCAATTGTTGCTTTTATAAAAATTGGATTACAGAAACACTTGTTATGAAAAAAATTCAGCTCTTCAAATTGTATATCACGAATTTTTTTAGTCAAATAGATAGTCTAAAACATATATCTAAGCGAAGGTTCAACCAAAAGAAGTTAATGTGAAGGAAGCAAAAAACATACTTCTGAATTTTTTACCCCACATGGCAGTTCACAATGAAACTTTTGCAAAACATCCCATGCATGTTCCAGTTCAGTTTCATAGGGTTCAAAAATTGACACATCACGCAAGGGAATAATTTGGGCAGATGGACATTTCACTAAAAATGAAAATTTAATAAGATACCTGACTGAATGTTCACTCTCTACCATAACACATAGTTATTGATTTAAATCTTCTCGTTTCAAAAACTTTTGCCAGGCCAAAAGGTTTATAATCCAAAAAGGGAACATTCAACTTAGTTTTTATTACTAATTTTTTTAAAAATTTTAGATTGAATACAATATAATCATATTTTATAGGTTGCGAAATACTGTCATCTGAATCATAAATCTAAAAATATAGCAATGAATTTTTGTAACTGTAATTATTAGTAAGATAAGCTTACCCAAAGTTCCTCTAATCCTATTAATTCATTAAAAAAAGAATATATCTCGTGAAAGTCTCGCTTTTTAATAATGATTTTTAAGCACAACTTTTTCAATAAAAATAAGTTGTTGCTGTACATGGAAGGTAGAGCTGTAAATTGTCTAGCTTCGGTTGAAATAGCAAGTCTCTTTAACTGAAATAAAGATCCAAGCCATATATCACGTCAACATTATATCATGAAATAACTTTAGGAAAATATTTTACTTGCCTTGCTATAGAGTTTCAAATCTTTTTCTCGAACACTTAATCTGGTATCAAGAGCATACAATTCTTCCAGTTTTGGGAGAAGTTTAATCAATTTCCTCGCATCATCTAAAGATATCCAATAGAGTCTATTAATGTTTAGTGATTTTATATGCTCATACCCCACATTTTGTGCAATATAATTGTATAAATTAACATTGTAGAATTTAAAATAACTTCCAATGTTAAAATCTCTACAAAATGTAATTCTATTGAGTAATGTCATTTTTACTCACTTTAATTACCAAAAAGATTTTTTTACGTCAAAATTACCTTACAATGTCTTTGTCTCTTAAAAAATAGGACACTTGTTGAAATGTTTGACAAAAATTGATGATATCCCATGTTTCCAAATATTGAAAAATATTTAGCCAAATTTCGTTGGGAAGATGGTCCATGTTATTATTTATCAACTAAGCGAAATTCAAACGCAACTGTGTACTTTTTTTCCAACAATTTTGTCAACCTAAAAATGACTTAAATAAAATAAATACCACAGCAGCAGTACAAAAGTGCTTAAAATTACTAGGATCATTCGCCCATTCCCGACATATATATTTATCAAATAATGTTTCAAGTTGAAATTTATCTAAATCTTTTTGACTTTCTCCAGGTTCCTACCTGAACCATCTAAGAATCTGAGTTAGATCAAACTGTTGATCAGTCCAAGAAAACAATGAAGCCGTTCTACATCTACACATAAAAAAAATAATGGCGTCAATTGATCGATAGTTTAATATTTGGTAAGTTCGGTTATGGTCGTATGATATAATTTTGTTTAGTGTTGGATTACTAAAGAATCTTGTTTTATAGATTTACATGTACCGTAAGAGACTCGGAGTTATTATATCCAAATCCTGTGAAGAATTTATTCTTGTTCAGAGAATATTGATTGACAGTCGCTAAATAAGATCTTAAGGTTTCTTTTTATTATTGTTAAGTAATGCACCAATATTTTAAAATTTTCATGTATTGTAACATTCTCTGCAGATGCCGGTAATAGGCAAATGTCATTTGTGGCTCGTAACACGCTGTTCGCTTTCTTTCCCTCATTCCATGCAAAATTTAAGTGATTCATTTGACATTATTAACATTCTGTGACATTTGCAGATGGACATTTCTTTATTAAAGTAATGTATTTTTGAAAAAAAAATCCATATTATAATTCATTGGAAACCGTAAGTTTTTGTTTTTTGGTGTTATTTAGTAACTGCTTTACGGAAAATACACTTATTAAACTTAAAATTTTGGTCTTATTAACCAATAGTTTTACCCTTTTTATGGCTTTCCATTGTGCCTAAAAATCATCAACTGCAATAAATTTACAGATGTCTGGATCGGGTCACAAACATCGATACAAGAATACTGCTTTAGACAGTGTAGAATTAAGAAGGAGAAGAGAGGAGGAAGGGATACAGTTGAGAAAGCAAAAACGAGACCAACAATTAAGTAAACGAAGAAACGTAAATGTTAATCAGATACTATCAGACGATGATCCTCTACAGGTGCCAATCTAGTTTTGTTTTGTTTAGAATGTTATAATGTGTTTTATTATAAAATCTGTAACTTTTTAGATTGAAGGGGATATGTCTTCCCCAGTTACAACAGGTATATCCCAAGAAATGGTTGAGGATTTATACAGTAATGATCCAGAGTTACAATTATCTGCCACACAAAAGTTTAGAAAATTGTTGAGCCATGAGCCTAATCCGCCGATAGATGAGGTTATTCAGACTGGTATTGTACCCAGATTTGTAGAATTTTTGCAAAATACTACAAATTGTACTTTGCAGGTAAGCAAAGCTGTGTAAATCTTATTAATGTAATATTGATCAGTTACCTAGAATTTTATATTTCTGTTGTGAATCTTTTTTAAATGTTTGTCTTACTGTATGATTTTGACCTTTAGGTTTCCTTAAAGTAGTTTAAAAAATTACTGTTAAGTTATTATGGTTATAGCACAATAACTTTTAGTTTGAAGCTGCTTGGGCATTAACCAATATTGCATCCGGGACTTCCCAACAAACTAGAATAGTTATTGAAGCTGGAGCAGTTCCTATATTTATTGCTCTTCTAGCAAGTCAGTTTGAAGATGTGCAGGTTTGTGTACTTTATTCTATCTAAAATAGGACCATATGGTTGGAAATTACTTTTTAGGAACAAGCGGTTTGGGCTCTTGGAAATATAGCTGGAGACTCTCCTGAATGCAGAGACCATGTTCTTGATTCTGGTATATTAGTACCTTTGTTGCAGTATGTATAATAATAATTTATTGAAATTTATGCAAAGTAATTTTTTTATATTTAGACTGTTAGAAAAATCTGTGAGGCTGACTATGATTCGGAATGCAGTATGGGCCCTATCAAATCTATGCCGAGGAAAAAATCCACCCCCAAATTTTTCTAAAGTCTCCCCGTGCCTTCCTGTTCTGGCTCGATTGCTTTTCCACACAGATGGAGACGTTTTATCAGATGCCTGTTGGGCTTTGAGTTATTTATCTGATGGTCCAAATGAGAAGATACAGGTAGTCAATTGTTTTATTCAGACAACAATAAGTCCTGTATTATGTGGTATTTAAATTATTTGGGCTGCAATTGTATCATTACATCAATACATATTACCAAACTAACCAAATGTTATATAGAAAAACTATATTTTTTTAGGTTGTTATAGATGCAGGAGTATGTAGAAGACTTGTTGAACTTCTTATGTCTCAGCAACCTAATGTTGTCTCTGCTGCTTTAAGAGCTGTGGGCAATATAGTTACCGGGGATGATGTTCAGACTCAAGTAATCCTCAACTGTTCTGCTCTACCATGTTTACTTCACTTATTATCTTCTGCTAAAGAGTCAGTTAGAAAGGAAGCATGCTGGACAATCAGCAATATTACAGCAGGAAACAGAACACAGATTCAGGTAAGTCGTTCCCATTGACACCCTGAATTAAAAAATATATTTAATCAAAAATATTGCAGGCAGTTATAGATGCCAACATATTTCCTGTTTTAATAGATATTTTGAGTAAGGCAGAATTTAAAACGAGGAAAGAAGCAGCTTGGGCCATAACCAATGCCACTAGTGGAGGGACCCCAGATCAAATCAGGTATGAGTTGTATATATTCGATCAACATGAATTAATTTTATTTATTAACTTATGGCTAAGTATTTGGAATTAAAATAACAGAAATTTGAGTCAAAAAGTGTCCCTACTATACCTACCTATATGCTTAATTTTTTAGATACTTAGTGGCCCAGGGTTGTATTGGCCCACTGTGTGACCTACTTACGGTCATGGACGTGAAAATTTTACAGGTTGCCCTCAATGGCCTTGAAAATATACTCAGACTTGGTGAACAAGAGGCAAAAGCTCATGGGATCACCAATCCTTATACTATGCTAATTGAGGATTGTTACGGTAAATTTGTTTCCTTATACAGATTTACAAAAAAAAGCCCAGGTAAATCATCCAATTTTTTTTAGGGTTGGACAAAATTGAGTTTCTCCAATCTCATGAAAACATGGAAATTTACCAAAAAGCTTTTGACATAATTGAACATTTCTTTGGCACTGAGGAGGAAGACACCAATGTGGCCCCCTCAATAGATGGGAACCATCAGCAATATCAGTTCAGTTCTGATCAGTCTGTTCCCATGGGAGGTTTTCAGTTTTAGAATCTTTTTCTTTTAACATTCAGGACACATATTGTGGGTAAATCAAAATATATCTGATTTATTATACAAGGCAGTGCAATTGACCAATAATAAGAATTTTCATTTCTATCGCTTATAAAAAAACAAAATGTTTTTGTTGTTAGGTATCACAAACCTACTGAAGGATTACCGATGGAGTTGGAAAGGTTTTAAAAAAATAATACAAACTGTTTTCATTAGTCTTTGTTTTACTTATAAATACCTCTATTGAATATTGTTTAATATTTTACTTTTGTGAATTGAATCATTCAAATTTTAACACAGTTGTGGTAAAGAAGAAGATTGGTAGAAATAAAATATCACTTTAACATTATTTTTCTATTCCATTCTTTAAAATACCCACTTATACACAGCGTGCGGGAAGCTTCACTTTACCACATGAGTTTCTTGTCCCACGGATCCGAGCCGCTTCGGACATTTCCGGAATACTGCCGCACGGGTTTGGGAGCAATCGAATGTTTTCAGAGATTTTACCGCCCGGCTAAAATTTTGACGTTATTCAATTCTGACGGTTACTTTATTGAACACATTCGTGTTGTTTTTAAAAAATGTACCCCCAAAACTAACGGCCGTAGAAAAAGATAGTATGCAACACGTTTGGTAAACTTTTTAAGTCACTCGTTAATTAAAAACTTGCTTCGCTCGTGTCAAATAAACTCGTGATTCAGATGTCGTTCACCGCACTTGTTGCATAATATACTACGTTCTACTCCCCACTGTACAATACCTAATTATACACCGATCTAGCCTGCGGGAAGCATCACTTGTGTGAGTTTCTTGTCTTACGGATCCGGGCCACATCGGGATTTCCTGGACTTTACCGGGCGGCTTGAATTTTGACGTTTGTCAATTTTGATGGTCATGTCGCAATTTTTTTTTTTTAATGTATCCAAAAGCTATTGGTCTGTGAAAAAGTATAATATGCAATACCTCTAACAAACTTTGTCACCTGTTTATTAAGCACTGGCTGCGCTCGTGTCAAAACAAAACTCGTGACTCTAACGCCAAAGGTGACCAGATTTTTAGATGGACTAAGCCAAGAATCGTAAAACTAACAGGATTGTATAATCGGCCAAATCTGTCCGCAAGTGCAATGGGAAAACTCTCGCTTATTGGCGCGTTTACTATGTAAATGCATGGAAATAATCCGAAACTGACCAGTTTTGATGGACTTTGAGAATTTTGAGTAGCTAATATAGCATGTTTGATTAATCACTCGTTACTTTCATTTAATGTCAACATTAAATCGTTTTAGTATTATTTAATTATTGGGAAGTAGCGTAGGGTAGGGTCTCAGGTAGGGTAAAAATAATAATATTTGCAATAAATTATGGCTTATATGTATTATCTTGAAATATATATATATATATATATATATATATATATATATATATATATATATATATATATATATATATATATATATATATATATATATATATATATATATAAATTAAATATTGTTACACATAAATACATGAAACTAGCGAACAAAACGATTTACTTGTAAAACTTTGTGTTTTACGGCATTCTTCCATTTTAAATATACAAAAATCGACAAATACTTATAAACTAGAAATCCCTATTTTTGGATATATTAAAAAACAAAAAATATATTAGGCATAGATAACAACTATTGATAGGTGGTAGGTAAATAATAATATGTATTTATATATACCCCCATATGTACATAATATAAAAAATACATATTATACTTAAATCTTTATTTTACAATTTCTTTACCATACTTTCTATTTTTTTTTCTGAGGGTATCATCTTGCAAAGATTTTCTTTATAGACTAAGGTTATATTTTGCTTTTAAATTTAAAGTTCATACGAATTATTGTTCTCAGCTTACAAAAATCTCTAACTAAACTTAATGGTAATTCTTTTTCTGTTTTAAATATTTAAATATTTTATTTGCTAACTTTTTTACCACCCTTTGCCCTTTTCGAAACGAATCACCATGATGGGATTCAAAATAAAAGTTCCATTTTTTCGGAGATGGGTTCTGGAGATTTTTCTCTAGAATTTCACTTGTGGTATTTGATGTTGTTACTAAAAGCTCACAAAATACCTGCTGAGCTTTTTTGGCATTTTAGGAATGAAGTCTTTTTGATCTAGATAATCCTGCTTCTGTTGGTGACTTCTGGTTGAAGAATAATAGGGTGGGAACAGCAGTTTTTTTAGAATCTGTTTTAAAGGTAAACCTAAAATTTAAATTTTGTTGTGAATTTAATGTACTACTCAAGACAAAAAAAACCTAATAACTCATTTTGTAAGTCTCTTTTGTAATGATTTTCAGTAAAATGAACTGAGCAGACATAGCTTTTATCTGGATTAAGTTTGTCCTCTGTTCTACATCAAACTATCCACTCATTCTGAATAGTTCCAGATACTAGAACTTTCCCTTGGGAAAGCGATGAAAACTACATTTTCGAGAACTTGCTTTTTCATCAAAATAGTTGTTATTGCACCCATACATGGCACATCTCGTTCCAGGCATACCTAACTATTTTTTGATGTAACTTATCCCACTGAAAAAGGTAAAAGAAATGTATTTCTTACCTTTACCTATATTATTATGTGTAATATTTTGAGCTTACCTCCTAAGTAATAACACCGCTAATAAGCAGCACGAACACAAAACTTTTAAATCTTTGTTTAAGGTTAAAAATACTGTTTTTCTCAATTCTCGGCACTTAAGCACATACAATTTTAAAGTATTTGTTAAAGCTTAAAAACACTGTTTTGTCCGAGTTTTTTTTTACAGAAATACAATTAACACAAACATAAGCGCACTACTCTCTAAGTTAAATTATTTTAATTGTTCAAAGAACACAAAATACAACGGTTTAACAGAGGACTTCGCTTACGTCACAAGCGACCACGTGCGTTCCATAATTTTGGCGAATGGGATTGGGCAATCCTATTAGGTTTACGATTCTTGGGGCAAAGCAACAAAAATTTTCATACAAGATAAAAACATCGTAATATTTTGTTATTTTTGACATAAGTACGATTTATAAATATAAAAAACTGTTTAGTTTAGTTCGATTGACTTAATATATTTGTAAAATTTTATTCGTATATTTCTTTCTAAAATCTCTTTTAAGGTTAAGGTTGCTGTTATAATTTTTGTCATCAATATCAATATAAAATATGAAGGCTACGAGTATTTCAAGCTAGGTTTAAGAAAAATTATATATTTATGAAATCTATAAATTAATTTTCCTAGTAAATAGCAGATTTGTAATATTTATTTGTTTAATTAGGTTGCTAGCCCACAGTACGACCACGAAGTGTCTCTTCTGAGAGACAAATACAATGTAACTGGGTACCAAAAACAATATATTTGCCGTCATAGCCCGTAGGATTCTTAGAACGCAAAACAATGATATTCATAAATATAAAATTTCACTTAACTCTAAAAGTCCCGACTTTTGAAAAACGTCGCAGGACAAATTGTAAAAAATCGGGACTGTCACACCAAAAGCTGGACGTCTGTCTGGTCTCCTTAGGCATAATATAATATTGTAATCATACATTTTATTACTGTGTTTAATAATATCTTCCAACTTATGTTTTCTTTTAAATGATAGCACATCCTGTCAAACCTCACTATATTGTCACTACCCTAACCAAAGATCTACTACCCGCACCAGTGTCACAGACATGTCTAGTGGGCGTGATATAAAGACGACAGTATTCTTCAGTTTTCTTTTATTTTGTTGTGTTGTGTTTTGTTTCTGACATATTTAGCATTTTGTATTACATTACATTACATCTTCTTCAGATAAAAAATTAGAAGTACTTTATAATAGAAATGTAGTAATAATATAATTAAAGGTAAAGCGAAAAAAATGCAAATTAAAAATACTTGTCAAAAAAACAAAATTTTAAAAATAGCAAAATTTCAACAAAAATACTCAATTTTTCTTGAACCTCAAGATATTTTGGTGACGGTTTCCGCTTTTGCATATAACAAATTGCAGACGCAATCCATATTCAAATAATCTTCGTGCGTATAATTATTTTTTCTACTCCCGTCTGTAAAATACCTAATCACGCACCGATCTAGCGTGCAGGAAGCGTCGTTTTACCACGTCAGTTTCGTTCGAGCCACTTCGGACATTTCCGGGATTTTACCGCATGGGTTTGGGAGCAATCGGATGTTTTCGTTGATATTTCCCACGCCTTGAATTATGACGTTTGTCAATTCTGACGTTCATGTCAGTGAATGTATTCGTGTTGTTTTGCGAAAATGTCGTAGAAAAAGTATAGTATGTAACACGTTCGGTAAACGCTTTAAGTCACTTGTGAGTCAAATGCCGCTTACCGCATTTGTTGCATAATATACTATTTCGGCATTTGTCTCAATTGTATTTTAACGGTTATTTTTTCAACGTCTTGTATTATTAACAATCGAAGTTGGTAACTAAATTTGTCCATCAGGCCATTTTCTACAGGGTAAGTTAATAAAGCAAAATTTTTATGAGTTCCGTATGGGAAAAAATGACGTTGTTGTTGTTCGGTCTGCAAACATAAAATGCTCAATATCTTAAAAACGGTCAAATTTAGGTATAGTATATTCTTATACACGCAATCTGTCTAGAATTTTCCTGGGAACCCAAAAACGCAACCAAATGAAGCGTGGAAATACCAAAATTACATTTTTCAGATAATGAAGAAAAACTGTTTAAATTTTTCGAGATTTCCCGTTTTTTAAAAATGTTAGCCCTAAAACGGTTGGCGGTAAGTTAAACAAAATGTAAGGCACTAAAATAAGGACTCAATAGAGTGTGTAAACTACTCTGGATGACGATTTATCCCTAATTTAATCCAGGATTGTTTTGTGGAGCAGTCGCTTCCCAATATTAATTGCTATATATTATTTAAATTATAACATTGGGCATAAAGAAGGTGTTAATGTTCTTATTTATTTTGTTAAATGGATTTTCATCAAGTATAAGCGACCTTAGTTCAATTTTATAGAAGCTATTGATTATAATTAATTCATCTGTTTGTTAGAAAGGCATTTATATCATAACGTGTCTGCCGTTCTTGTCGTTTTACATAATATATGACAAATTTAAGCACGGTTAACTAAGAGATTTATTTTTTGATCTGTTTTGCGAGAACAAGATTTGGCATCAAAAAGTATTGAAATGAACGATTGATTGAAATGATTCGGTCCTTTTCGAAAACGTTCACTGATTGATTCGGTCCTCCTAAAATGAACGATTGACACAACACTATTTGTTACATTCTTTAGGTGCTTGTGACCAACAATAATTTATCTATGAAATGAAAACGCCTAAAAATCCCACACTTGATAAATGCCAAATCTACTACATACTTTACCATAACCTATGACCATTTATATTATGAATAGAATTCACGTGTTAACGAGATCAGTCTCGTTCTTCGTTTCTCGTAAACCTAATGGTAACCTATTCCAATATATGGTTATTGTTGTTGCAAAAATAAACTAAATATTTTTTGAGCCAACAAATGTTTTATTTCATGTTATACATTACAAGTGCAATGACAATTTTCAAATTAACCACTCAGAATCCGATAATTGTTGCCGAAACAGAATTATGTAGTTATAGCAGTTCAAAGAATGGAGAAATATTAAGATTTATTAGGTAAGCAAAGCAACTGTCTTTTAAAGATAATATATACTTTGTTAATTTTAGCGGACCCTATGAAGCAAAACGAGAAAACACGTCAATTTTTTTTACCCTTTGCAAAACCGAAAAAGAAACTCTTCTTTGTCCAGGAAATTCAATTGCTTGTCTTTCACGTGGAAATTCCCTTGAGATATTAAATTTGGGATTTGGATTTGAATTAAGTGAGAATTTCCATTTTTTTAACATTAATATTAAAGCTATGGCCCGTTTACCGGTGAAACAAGTTAAGAGGATTCACAAAAATAAATTAATACTGCAATTACTAGCGAATATTTAATTCTGTTGTATTTTATGTTTAATTTTTTTTCTTATTTTTCTCTGTTCAGTCTTTATCATTTTTGCTTTTGGTAGGTGCACATGTCCTTATTTGAAAACAAAAAAATTATTAAAACTTTAAAGTTACTCTACCATTTGATATTAATGAATTAGTGAAAGTGCATGAGCAATATGCATCTCGATTCAGTAAAGAAACATTTAATATTTACTGTACATGTATAAGTTCTGCATGCCTGTTTTGATAAATCATCAGTTTTTATAACAAAGTACATTTTACATTTAGTCCTTTGGTATAATATATTGTACCAAGTGTTAGTGACTATGTTATCAAATTAAAATAAAAAATTATACACCCATGCATAATAAACTCCTACTGAGTTTGTTAAAATAATATTTTCTAGCATGAATAAAACTACTTACTTGTAATTATCTATAAATACAGATCCATATTGTTAAACTTTATGGAGTATATAATGAAGATTAGATATTTATTTTTAGATATCACTCCACTCAGATGAGATAAGCTTAACGATTGTTATAATTTTAAATATAAAATGCTGAAACACTTAATAACAAAATAACTTATTTTATTATATTTATTTGAATATTAAATTATATAACAGAATAAAAAAGGAGTTACCTGACTGCAGTTTGGATTTAGTTTATATATATATATAAACCAGAAAATAATACTAGCTCTATAGTATAACTTTTAAATTTACAAAACAACCGAACAACAGTATCCGAAGATACCATAGTTCGCCCAAAAAATTGTTGATACATGTTTCACAAATGGTTTAACACTGATACTACTATAATTCGATTCGATTTGATTCGTGGAAAACTGTGTTATAAAAATCTGAATAAGTAATTAATAGCTGGAGGGGTTGGTTAGTTTGTTGTCACATGTACTTAAGTGACATCTTGATGGCATGTGATCCATCTGGAACATTTGGAAATGGTTATTTTCTACCTCAGAAGAATTAGACACTTTTCCCAAAGTAGTTTTCCAAAACTCTGGATGCTTATGAAGGACTTTTTTAAGATATTATTTTTATGCAGTTTGTATTAATAAAAATATTGATATAAAAGCTAAGGCGAAGGAATTACATTTTCACTGCAAAGCATATGTTGTGTTTCATGTTTAAAGTTCATGCAGAATTTTGCATTAATCATTATTTTTATATTTCAGATGAATGGAAAACAAGAAAAAAACCTAAAGGAACAAGTTTTGTTTCAATTCATGGTGATCAGTGTAATCCTACAAAAAATTATACATTAACTGTCAAGTATAAGTGCCACAAGTGTGCTAAGGTATTTGTTCTTGTTAGTTTTAACATTATTATAACTGTTTTTTTATTAAACTGAGAAAAATGATATTGTGAGTCCTTAAGTAATTAATTTAAATATTAAATTAAATTGAATTAACGTAATAAGTTTATTTAAATACCAAATACTTTTTTCTTGTTAAGAATTTTAAATTGAAACTATAAATTTTGTTTTCAAATTTTTAGGACATAATTTATAGTCTCACTAGTCCCGAAGAATGTAGTTACGAAATTGTAATGGAAGATCCACATTTTGGACCATGCAAGATTAGTATTCATGGCCAAATCTTTGACTTGAAAAGTCTGGAAGGATCGCTTTCCACTCGTTTAATGAAGGGCACCATATTTTATTTAAATTTGTGTCAAGCAAACAAAAATTGTATATCAGGAGGTGAGGAAGTTTACAATGCATGTAAAGTGACTGGAAATCGCTCTATCGCCGTTTCTACAATTGAGGAGTTTTTGCCTTTGTATAATGAGGATAGAAATATGTTACAATTTCGAGGTCATATGGAGGAGAGAGGCAGTAGAAAAAGTATGTTTTTAAATTGAATAGGGTTTTAAAAAATAAACAATGTATATTACTAGTTATACACAGGCTAGAGGTATCTCTTAAGTGTAGATGGGATAAGCATCTGAGTGATGATACCAATTTTCATTATCTTGGGAGGGAAGGAAAATTTGAATTGGAGTCATCTTTTGGGTGTGTGGTAAATCGAATTTCATGTATAGTATGTATGTATTAATAGCGAAAACTCCTAAGCTAAATATTAATATTTTAGGTACGTGACAAATTTCTTATTTACAATTTGACAGGCCTGTACTCATCTAAACCTGTAAAAGACAATAACTCTAATACTCTCAGGGAAATATATATTAATATGTGCGCGTCTTTACAATTACCCGATTTCAAGAACTGTACCTGCACAAGTGTGTACTGGAATGTGCTAAAATAAATATATTAATTCAATGTAGCATAATTTTAGAAACTTACTCCCAAGTTTGTGAAAAGTTGGAACACGATAAGTATGTCAATAGGGGATCAGTGTTAAGAACATTAGAAGTATCTGGGGACGTCTTAAAGGCTGGAATCGAGAGTAGGATCATGGCATCTTTAAGCAATTAGTATTAATATTTTTTTAAATTTTAGGTGGAATGCAGTGTGCGGATGACAGTACACGCCAGTATAGAACGTTTGTTAGCCTTTCTTGTGCAAATAAAACAGATAGTCCCTTATTTGAAAATTACAGCAATTGCGATACACATTTGAGTTGGAAAACATCATATGCCTGTCCACAATTCGTAAGGAACATTTATGTAAAAAATATTAGAACCTCCTTTTGTGTTTTTTAGAACGCGGCTAGCTGCTCCCATATTGAACCAAAAGTCTACGACTGTTACTTTATTGTAAATGGGTTTCATTACGATTTGAAGCCCTTAATGATCCAAAAATCGATTATAAACTCCACAAAAGAATTTTTGTTTAACATATGTGGTTCTCTAGTTATTGAAGACGCTCCCTGTATGAAAGATGTGTCTGTTGCTGTTACAAATTTACTAGAATTCAACAATAAACATAGGTAGGTATTACGTCTAATATAAGAAAAAAATATATACCCTTTTCAATTTTTATTTTGAAAGGTGAGCAATTTGTTTTACTTTTTGTTGTAATAGTAAGAATGTTGTTTATAGAGAAATGCAAAAAATGATTTTCAATTGTTTGATATGAAACTGTACACTGAATCCAAAGAATTAAATTTTACACCAACTTGATTAATTACTTTCAATAATGTTTTGGAGGTAAACCTTTTCCTTATGTGAATAAATTTCAGAACAATGTCTTTGGGAAAACTGGCCGGGTCCAGATTGCAAAATGGCGATCTCGTATTAGAATACAAAATCGGTTCATATTGCAAAAGTGGTGTCGATTTTACAAGCGAGATTAGGTTCGAATGTGGCATTGAGGAGGTAAATTATTGTATTTAATACGAATGAATCAGATTAATGGATTTGGGTTTTTAGGAAATGCCATATGTGGAGAGCCAAACAGAGTGCGAGTATAAATTTGTTTGGAAAACTGAAAAAGCATGTTCCTTGATGTCTAATCACAAAGGCTGTAGTTTTGTGCTCAATAATAAAAAGTAGGTACCTCAACACTCAGTGTATTTTGATAACTAAAATGGGTTTGAAGGTTTGATTTTAATGATGGCGTCCAAAGCAAGCTCAAAATTACTTCCAATGGATTGAACTACGTATTTGATGTGTGTCATGAATTCTATGAAATATGTTCCATGGCGGGTATGTAAATTAATCCTGATTATTGGTGCATTTGTTTGATAAAAACAGTAATGTACCTAGGCTAGCATATTTAATTTAAGTAAATCTCTGTAGGCAATACATTTTTTTTATCATACTTTCCAACATTTTAGTTTTGTAGAAATGTACCGCAAAAATTTCATTATAGCTCGTTTATAACTTGTAACTTCCAACTTCTATCGGGATTTTATAAAAAAAAAAATTCTTCGTAATTTTTAGATTGCTCGTATCACCCAATAAAAGAAAAAGTTATCCAAGCGATGGAGAACAGGCCTATCATTAAGTTAACTTTGTCAGACCAGTGTGATTCGTCTTTCAATGTTGTCCTTATCGAGTTTGTTTGTGACCAATGTAAGGAATGCACACAGAATGAACACATTGAGTATTACAAGACTGAAAATTGTGTTTTACACGTCCATTTTGTCACTGCTTCATTTTGTGTAGAACAGGTAATAGCTTCGTCATTATTATTTTAAGAGGTCGGGTGCGTATTTCCTGTATATATACATATATATATATATATATATATATATATATATATATATATATATATATATATATATATATATATATATATATATAATGATAATAAATTTGTTTTTAATATTATAACAATTGTATGATGTTAATTCAAACCTTATAGGATTTGCCAGCTGGAAATCACCCTGCATATATCAATGAAGGGGCAGATTGTGTAATTAATAATCCAATTGCAACCTACCAGTTAAGTCTGGCGGAACCCTACCTTCCTAAATTCGTAAGTTCTTCAATTTTTAAAATTAACTTTTAAAATTCACGTCCCAAGTATCCTATGATTTTTTAAAACTAAGTATTATTTTAAATATTAGTATAAATGTAAATATGACAATGCAGGGTTAATAATGGCCCTTTCCAACCTGTACTTAAAAAGCTTTTATCAAAAACTATTGGGACTCTTCCTTTTACAGGACATTAATATTATGTGATCAAATCAGCTAATTTACCAAAGATAACGTTTTTTACATAAATTTCAATTTAATTTGTTTAATAATTATCTTTGTGCTAATTTATGTAATTATAAAGTCATGGAGGTATGAACGTTCTGTATATTTTCCTGTACATTTTTGGTCAAAATTTTACTGATTTGACTGTATTCTACAACATGCTTGGGTCATACAGTGCCTTTGAAATTCACACTTTTCTCAACTTTGAGGTCGTATACAAAATAACACTTTGATAAATCAGTAAAAGTAGTTTTTGCTGCTTCTCAAAGCAAAAGGAAATCAATTCATTGTATTTAAAAAATTTACTGATTTGTGCACAGAGTAAAGAAGAAATTGAGAATGTTTTATGTGTTTTATAATTTCTTAGATATCATCAAATGGAATTTGTCCTAGAGTGGTGTTTAACAATTCCTTTGGTTACACCCAGCTAATCTATACTGATACACTCTGCAGCTCTCCAGCAAACCAAGGTACCACCACCTCCAGTGTATTAATAAACAAATTTAAATAATCTTGGTTAACTACCATTAATATTATCCGCAAAGTATTTTATTTTAGTTATTAACGGTAAAAAAGTTTTTGTATGAAAAAATTCTTGATTGTATTTTGATTTTTTGTGTGGCGGTATATTATGTAATTGCTCTGCATGCGTTTTTAGGGGGTGCATATGAGATGATTTTGCGATGCAATTCATCAAGTGTCAATCATGTCGTCAAGGTAATATAATTTTAATGTTAGAATGTTAAATAAAATGAATCCTTTTTAAGAGAGACGTCTGTCGTACCGAATTAAGTAGGCCCGAATTCTGCGCATTTTTTGAATCAAGTAGTACAAATTCATCTCTTTATATTGGTAAGAAACTGGTTTTTAGTCATCATGAAATATGTTAAAGTAAATTATTGAAGGTATTGGTATCGGATTGCTTATTTTATTATCTGGGCTTGTGTTTGCGACTGCAATTCTAAAAAGACGGTCTAGGTCTAGGCAACAAAGATTTAGGAATGTCGAGGATAGTATGATTTATGAAAAAGTAAGTTTTGAGAAAATTTTAATTAAGTAGACAGTTTCATTTGTTTGGCAACCAATCGCTTGTTTCCCTATATTTTCAGGACACTGAACTTTAATAACGAATGATGATGAGTGACTGGTTATACAGGGTTTTATTTTTGACTCAAAGATTGTAGCAAACATTACTTAAAGGAAATCAAATTTTTTGGTTAATCATAAGAAGTGCCCCTATAAGTGAATCACAGTGTTATTTGTTGTTTTTTTTTGAGTTCGCATTTAATCGGTAAATTGTTCATAACGTTTTATTTATTTTGTTTTCATTTTGAATATTTTTTAGTTTAATAATTTATTGTTTTGAAAATGTTGATGTGATACCACAGTATTATTTTTTGTTGGCAATGGCAGAACATGTGTACGATATTAAAGACAACAAAAAATATTTTTTATTAAATAACATTTGTCAATTGTAATCATGTTCTGTTTAACGCATTGTTATTAATTATCGTTATTATTATGATTTCAAGTAAAGCAAAAAAAAAACACAAACCTGAAACCCACAGTGCCTTTAAAGTGAAATAACTGTTTAATTATAAGATTTCACTTAGTTTCAGATATGCATTCCCACTAATACTACTATAATGTATATTTCAGTTCTGTATATACAATTGTAAATTTATTTGAAAAACAATAAAATAAAAATAGAACATAAGAGTTTGTGGTCAGTACTACCAGCATCCTCAGGCAGGTTTCGGTTGCATGACTTTCAATTAATAAGAAGTAGGTCCACTACATCCTTCCACATACTCATCACTAAGGATCAGCGGCACACCAAAAAGTTAAAGTTAATTATTGTGAGAATAATAATAAATATATAAATATATTATAGTTAGTTATTTAAGAAAAACTAAAAAAATATAAAACTTAAAACACCTAAAAAAGTGTTTCTGTAAATTTGAAAAATTCTCTGCTAAGTCTGTATCACCAAATCTTTTGACAACAAAAAAACTAAAATTGAAAACAAACTCAATTAAAATGTACTTAAAATCATACTATTCCACAAATGTTTTAAAAATAGAAATTATGTTCAGAAAGTTTATTTTTGTCGCCTATGCAAGTGTATTCTTTGCTGTCTTTCCCCACTAGTTTTTTATTCATACTTTTCAATAACAATTTGATTGGATAGAGTGAACTAAAACTTCATTTTAGAGAAAACAACATAATTTATTTTCTATCCTAAATTATATAGTCGGGATGATAAGGATACATACACATATTTTGGCTTATATAAAAATACAATGTGAAACCTTTGTACAATGCTTTCTACATGTAAGAGAAATGGATGCATTTAAATTTAATGGTCCGGACAATATTAGTTCCCAAAGGTCATTGCAAAACAAATACATTTTCGGTTTTATATTGGCTGTTTTTTTTTTGTGTTAGTGCCATATGAGAAATGGGAGGCCAAGTAAAACATACTGGTATTATTCAATATACATATACCCACTGATCATGAGTGATTATTACCGCAATATTTTTTTATTTTTAAAGTAAATGTTGGAAAGTTTCGAGATGATATAGCTAATATTACAAATTACAAAGGTTTTATTAAAGAAATGTTGAAAAACTTAATAAGGTTACATTCGTGGTCGTGGGGTAGATAGTTGAATTTAACCAATTAATGGATCCCATTTTTCAATTTACTAGAAATTTCAGAAACTAAATTATTTTGCGACCTTGGAAAGTAAGCAGTGTTAGTGGTGCAACAATTTTTCTGTTAAAATGGGGATATATGTAGACTAATCATCCATGTAGCAGAAACAAACCTAATAGAATAAAATTGCAAAACCTCAAAAGGTCACGTCAGAGTGATATCGAGACACTACATACTGAAGAAACTCAAACTTAACAAGAATAGTAGATTATATACACAACAAAAAAAGCTAAGTGTTTTACATATACCTATAATTTATTTATTTATTTCAAAATAATTAATAATTTGAGTGGCAATAGTTTGTGATTTAAAGATAATAGCATATGATGTCCTTTTATAAATTCATCATTTGAGTGGATGGCCTATAAAACAGCAGCGTCTCTTATCAGGTCTGGAGCCACCAATGAAACCAAAAAAGCGAAAATATATTAGAATTATATTGATCTAAACGCGCACTTTGATAAGCACGAGTTTGAGGTAACATGGATTAAAATTATGTCACTCCGGTCACATTTACATTCACACGGTGGCCACTCACTCAATTTTATGTCCGTTCGCAAGCACTTTAGTTTTGTGTAAATACGCGCGCACGGCATAAAAACATTTTGGGGGCACTAGAAGATGACCCTCAAAATTATTGAACTAGTGGCGGGGCTCAGATTTTCTGGATCTTCTCGCCGACCACCACTGGATTATTGCGTCTTATCTCTTGAGCGCCCATCTCTCGGTAGTTAAAGCTACAATCGTGTTTGTCGCTGTATCGGTGTACAGCGCAGAAAAGTCTTCCGCAGCGGCATTCAAACCCTATAATTTCAACAAAATAGCTTGCTATAAAGGATTCCTACATTTGACAATTGAAAGCGAGGATTGGGATGTTTTGTAGCTGTTACAGTTTTTTGCTTATATCTTTGAACCTATTATTTTCGAGAACGTGTTTGTTGGTTGTTGGAACCGTAGATGTTTTTGGAAAACGGAAAGAATACTAAAGGTATTTTAAATCAATAGAACAGAGTCAGACTGTGTTTCAAATTCATTCTGTTGAATTTTTTCTATGTTAATTGCTATATTAAGAGGTTAATTTAACCCTAACAGATTAAAATTATTAAGTCTAGTGGAGTTCCAGGGACACCTTAGAGAATATTATTGGCAAAAGCATGCACCCCACAGCCCTTTTTGTAATTTTAATATTTTTTGTTTGATTAAGCATCTAAATATACAAATTTTTGCTTCTTGTATTTTTTTATATCACTTCCTGTCCAAGAAAAAATAATAAAAAATTGGAGAAACTTGTTTTGTCAATTTTTCCTAAAAGTCACAAGTGCTTTGAAAACCCAAAAAACATTTCTGCATGGAATAATAAACATCTTTAGCGAAAATGAGAAAAAAACTACCTGGTGAAATAATAAATAATGCAAAAAAGTACATACAACTTTTTAATATAAAAAGAGAGGGAAGGGAGTCCTGGAAAAAATGATAAACAAACTACTTTTCTATGACCATAAAGCAAAAAGCAGGTAATTTTAAAAGCTGGTATTTTAGACACAGTTTAGCTTTGGGATTAAAGGAGTTTTCTACATTTTATGTAAGCTTTTTAGATTCGTGGCAATATTATTCTTAAGATGCACCAGAATAATGTCTTACACATATAAGAATAAATAGAATAAAAGAAACAGCAAATGAAAAAATAAAAATGAATGCAATTTACTTTTCATTGACTTTATAAAGGAAAACAGTTCATAATGTTGGAAAAGAATGCTGTTCTTAAATTAAATTTGATTGGATTGTCAGACTTCCCCCTCTTATATGTTGAAAAAGTAGAATACGGGAATAAAGGAATCATAATAATTAAATTGATTATTGACAAAAATTGCTTAATGTTCGTCAACTTACCTGTAAGTCCAACCTTCTTGCGGCAGGTTGCGCATCTATTTTTTTTCTTTTTAGACTCTTTGTCGTCTTTATCATCATTACCACCAACAGAATCTGAGGTGCTAGTTTGAGCCTCTGAGGATGTTACATTATCATCGGCTTCCGTGGAAATGGTCGCTGGTGACAGGTTGGAGAGTTCATCTGCGTTCTTAAAGAAAAAAAAAGAAAACTTAGAGCTAATTTAAGGCCAATGCAATATTCTGATGGAAAAAAAATCATGGATGCAATCACTTACAAGGTTATCTGATGGCGAAGAAATTATGATGTCATTGTTTTTGTTACTAGATAAATTTGTTGTTTTTTTAACCAAATCTTCCTTTGACATAATACTTGACAATTTTAATGACAGGAGTGTCACTAAAAATGCATGAACAAATAAGAAACCCATCTAACTGTTGGGAACCCACCACAACATTTAATTATTTTAAACTCATTTTATGAATTAAAAGGACTTGCACTTGGGATCTGCACATTAAATTTTACTTAGATCAACCTGTCAATATTACTGTTAAAAGTTAAAATAAACGAAATACGTTTGAAAAAATAAAGATTAGAAATTAAGAGATGACATAAAAAACGCAGAGACTGTTTTTTTTTTATAAAACAGATTCAAAACATGTCATTGGAAATTTTTAAACTTACTTGTTCGGGAAGGTCTACAACAGTTGAGGATGGAAGATGGCTAATGGTTGGCTGTGCAGTTGATGTGTCTCTGTAGGAGCTAAGACTAGCAGGGGTATTTGTTGGAAGTTGCTGTTTCTTCTTTAAGGCTTCCTGTAAACAGTATCAACATTCGAATACGGGATATTTGGATATTGTTTTTATAAAATATAATTTAGCACTGAACAACTAAGTACCTTGTAGCACAAGGAGCAAAGCCCATCTGTAGCTGGACTGCCATAAAATCCACACCCTGATCGACAGAGTGCTTGCATGGGGTTTTGCTCACGCTCCATTTTGTCGCGAATTATATTCCGAGATGGGTTTAGTATTCCTCTGTACCTTAGTAGTTGATTTAGCGCAGTACAAGTATCGTTCAACTTGTACAATCTGCAATAAAATATTGTTTTAGAAAATCTTGGATGTAGTTAAAAAAAGTTGCATTTCTATGTTGGTTTAAATTTTTATTAATGCATCCACTTAAGACAAGACGTGATTGTCAAAACCATTTGTATTAGACCTGTTGGAAAGTTCAACTACAGCCAGAATAATTTTTTTTTATTTCCAAAAAGTTATGGTGACTAAAAGAACTTGAAATATTTTTTAACCTTAACGAGTTGCTGCGACTATTACTAGCCAAAATATTACGAGACTCAGTGATAAAACTTACAGATTATCCTATTGAAATTAAAAGGGCACCCGAGGAATAATACTTATTAAAGGTGAGTAAATCTAGAACCCTTGTAGCCATAAAGTTTCAATTCAAAAGTACAATTTGAAATTAAACTTGAAAGCATAACAAACGATTTTGGATAAACAAAATTCACAAATATCTTTAGCAATTGTGATTTGACACTGACAGTGACATATTTTCATGTCTCCTTAGAATATTGAAAATTTGGCTTACTACTAGCTTACTCGCAAATTGGTAATTTTTTGAAAACCGATGTTAAGACATCAGAACATGAAACAGCTGTATTACTAGAGATAATATTAAGATATGGAAATAAAGGAAATTATTTTTATCGAACTGTCAGATCAATTAGATCTAAACATTACAAATTTAAGTAGCTAGTAAAGTTTATAAAAGTTTCTGCAATGTTAACTACCTTGATGAAGAAGCAATAAAACCCACATATAGGCATATCCTGATATTCCAGCTGCATTAAACCTATTTTCGTCAGTAAACCATTAACAATTATATAAACGAGAACTAAATTAAATTAAAACGTTTTCTTGAAATAATAATATATCGGTAAATGGAAATGGGTGATTCATATCACAAATCTTTTGTTAAACAAAAAAAGATCAACCAATCAGATACTATGGGCCAAATCTGATTATCACAATGAATGATCCACCATTTGAGTAACAGGTAAAATTATCTATGGACGTCAATTAGGCGTAAAAACATACGACGTTGCATTCAACTTTAGCGTCTTGAAGCGAATTGAAAACCTTACTTTCAACAAATGCGTCTCCATCTTGAACAAGTTTTGTTGATAATAAACGCTTTACGTTTACTCAAACGGAACTCAAAGAAAGGGAAACTTATTTAAAACTAGAAAACATTAAATTCTAACTCACACTTGGACTTTTGTCAGCGAACAATCATCTGGAAAATTTATCCTTTCCTATTGCGTCACTTGGTAAATTGTGCAACGTTTAAACGGAATATCCTTCTACGTTGTACACGATCCTTGAATATAAATCGGGGTTTTCAACTGCCCTGAACAGGCAAAAAGCTCTCTAAACGTTATTTCTAAATCACAATAAGGCTTGGCAAACAGCAGCTGGGTGTCTACGCTAGTGGGACGTCAATCAAATGAGCCCACAACGACAATGATTCACGAAGTATTCACGATTTGTAAGGTTCGTCGCGTGAACTTAAATTGCACTTCACCTCACCAACGCAATCGTTTTACTAATATATGCATTTGCACACTAAATTCTACGCAGTTCAATCCACAAACATCAAACTAATACCTCTCGTACTTGCTCGAACAAAACTGAATGACAAGCATCCAATGTGAAATGACGTCGAATTTTCGTATCGCCAACACTCGGTTCTACGAAAATAGTTGTCGAACGCACGCGCACCACCTTTGGAAAACGACAGATGAACAATGAACCGAGCAGGATAAAGAAGGACGAGGAGAAAAGATCGAAATCATGGCGACCGACTTAAGATGATTGAACAACTTATTTTACTTACCACTAAAAAATGCGTAAATTGGTTTAAAGGTTATCTTCCATGTAGCTGTACCATAATTTTTGGAATGTGCATCCTTTTAAATATAAAATCTGTCAGTCAAAATATCGTTTTCATCATTAGCGGACTCGTTTACAACAATTACAATGGACCGCGTTACGCAGTGTTTTTAAAATCACAGAAAATATATTAGATCAAATTTTAACTAATAATTTTTTGTTTTTAGCAAATCCCCAAATCACGTGCTCGCCAACATTCAAAGCTATTTTGAATTTTTGGTCTATATAGTAAAAGCTTCGACAATATGTAAATTGCAACCAAGATTACTGCAATATGATTTGGCTAGAATAAAATGCGTCTCTATGCAAAACGCAAAAATCTGGGCAGAACAAAGATTGTCACAAATCAGCTGTTGGGTGCGTGTCGTTGATCACGCTTGAAGGCCGACGCCTTGTAGTCGTAAATTACGCAGGCTGCGCTGCGTCGTCGACCTGTCAGTTTCCGTTTTGTTCTCCTTTTTTGTTCACCCCAGTACGACTTCTAATTTAATATTAATGACGCTTCATAAGTTGTCAAATACTTATGCAACAAGTTTTATTAACGACACTTTAATCACGAGTTTCTTTAGGCGTTTAAGCAGAGAAGCTGGTGCTTAATAAACGAGAAACTGAAGAAGTTTATTAAAGTGTTTTCTAGTTTTTGGGTACGTTACAATTGAAAAACGTCAAAGTACTCTGGCTAAAACTACCGAGCGCTCCGAAAACCGTCACTAAAATACAGGAAATGTGCGACGTAGCTCTGGATTGTAAGTAACGAAGCTGACGTCTTAAAGTGCCTTTTTATGCAGGCTTCATCGGTGTATAATTTGGTATTTTAGAGAAGGGCGTGCAAAAAATTTGTTGATACCAAATCGCAACTTAATTTTAATTCACTCAAAAATTTTTTTCAAGACATGTATTAAACCGTACAATTTCACATTAATCATATTTCTTGTTTTTTATTACGACGTCCATCTGATTGGCTGTTCAGTTTGTGGACTAAAGAGCACATTCGCAGAGACCACTTTTGCCCCATCACATATCTTCATAATTTCTGGGAATGGGGACAACTAACGAAATGAAACTGACTCAGAGACCATTATTATTAAACGATCAAAATATCCATTTTTATAATATTCGCGCTGCTAATAAATCGTCTTTAAAGGCATATTCCCTAATTTCAATATACATAAATTGGGAGAATACAAGGGTGAGCCAATCAATAGGGGCGGTGGATCACTCCTTTTCTTATGTTGTTGATATCTATATAACCTACATCTATAAAATATTTCCATTTTACAGGTTGATGTCAAGAATCCGTTATCGTACCCACCACTACTGATCGGTGGATATAGATGACTAAATGAAAAAATTAACTTTTTATAAGTTTCAAAGGAGATTGGGAAAATCTTGAGGTTAAAATCAAAAATGCGAAAATGGAAATTATTCTCAGCGCCGACAAATTCACCGGAAATCAAATGTTGCAATACCTGTATATTATTTTATCATGAACTAAAGTACGTTCTTAATCCCCGCTTCATATTCGATACGGTTTGGTATTTGGTAATAAATATGATTTTTATATTTAAAACATGTTTTACAATTAAACTTTAAGTTTTCCGACAACGAAAAATTATTACTAGAAACACTCATAGTTCAAATAATAAATATTAAATAATCAACAGCCTACAGAGTTTTAACGTCCCACTGTCACAGATTAATTGTTTAAATCATCAATTTAATCTTTCTGAAAAACCTAAAGAAATGAACTTTATTTATTTTATTTAGTCAATTTATTTATATTAGTCAATAAAAATTGGTCACTGGGAACAGTGGCAAAGGTAATATTTGATGAAATTGTAAATTCGAAAATAATAATTAAACTTCAAAGAGCCTAAGCTGTTAAAAGTAGCTACAAAAGCTTCTGTTCCATTGTTTCCGTCTTAGAGAAAAATTTATCGGTACATCTTTTGATTCGATATAAGTTTGTTTCAAATCTCAATTTAATTTTTTAATTCTACCCTTCAATAAAGTTTAAGTAAATTATTGTCCCAAATTCGGTGCGAATATACCTAAATTCGTCTCGAGAAACTGAAAATTTTACTTCTAACGTCTTGTCGAATTAATTTTTTAAATATAGCTAATTTATTACATATTCGCGGTACACATTGGCTTTATTTGGGATATAGTTTGTACATCCTAACAACAAAAAAAGAGCCAATAGGGGTCACGCAAGAAAATATACGATTCCACGAAAAGTTAAAGAAACGTTTAACAAAACTCGGAAGTGCGCCGAAAAATAAAAACAAAGCCGCTATTTTTAATATGACTTGCCAATTCCTGGTTCACTAGACTGTGGCAAGCAAGGCCGCGCCGGATAGCTCTAAAATAAAATGGAATGGAATTAAATTGAATACCCTGGGGCATGTTTTGTCTGCTAATAAAAAATGTTTATCACGCCTGCAATGCCCTATTTTTTTAATAAAGTTTCCAAAAGATATAAATAACGCAGACCTTCCTAAATTTTTTACTCTCTGCAATATAATAATCACTGATTCTTATTCGGTCAATCAAAGATGAATAATAACAACAATCATATAATCATTTGCTCTGAGCTAAAGTAAAAAATAACTGAAGCAGCAGACATGATCATACTACCTATACTGAGATATTATCTTATACCAAAAAGCAAATAATTCTGATATTGCAAAAAACAAAATTTCACTAAAAGACTTTCAATCTGTATAATTTAAATTATACCTAATTTGTGATCTTATTATACTGGTAATTCAAATTCTATAGTCATTACTTTCGGTGCTATGCAGTAAATGCTTGTTTTCTGGAATATTTACGTATTGTTACTATTGCGATTTTGCAGATACTTCTAATATTATATATTATTTCCCTATTACTTTACATACAGTGCTAATAACGTTTATAATTCAAAGGTGTGAACCAGATGGTTAAATTACTTACCTACTTGTTTTCAAAATTTTAAATTGTTCTCAGTTATATACCTGTAATAAGTTACGCAATTAAAAATATTAACTAGCTTTTCCAATCTTGGAGTTCGTCCAAAATCAGGTACTCTTATATTGGCTCGCTTGCCCTGCACTTACTTTCTATTGAAAATTCTATTTCTCTCTAGGCTATAAGATAATTATCTTAAGATTGCAGTTGGTTTGGGAAAAAAATATAATACTACATAAAAATTTAAAAATTGATCAGAGACAAGAATACATGGAATCTATAACAATAAAACAAAAAAAATGCTATTATAGCTGATTATTAATTTTACTATTTCTTCTTCTGCTGTATTTTGAATCAATTTTTGAGACAATCGCTGGCAGTAAGGGAATCATCAATGCACATGGTATTATTGAAAATTTAGCTGTTTAACAACTTCCTAATTTGCATAAAGCATGGATTAAAATATGATTTTAAAAAAATAGCTTACCAGAAAACTGGAAAAATCTGTTATCCGTAGAAAAGCGTTTCAGAATTTTAATTCCTGAAAGAAAAAAAACACTAAAGCTCTTTGCTCATATAACAATATACCAAAATATGATTTGAAAATTAAAAATGATTACTCATATACAAAGAATACTCATATTGAAGATACTGGAAGCAACATAATATCAAATTCTGGAGCTCAATTTCCATGAAGAATTTAATTGTTATTTTAAATTGCGAATGAACAATGACTAAAAATTAATACAAACGATCAAAAAGTAAAATCGTCTGTGACTCAAATGACACCATAGGACAAATCCTATTCAATTTTATAATAATTTATATACAATTACATACAACAACGCTACGTGCAATCAAACATTGTCATTGATAATTAAACTTACATGTACTTACAAAACCCAATAATTCTAAAAAAAATTAATGATAAACTTTTATGTACCAAAAATAAAAACAATAAACGAAGTTATATTTGAAGGACATTTCAGCAAATTTAGATCACGTGACAGTTAATGCGCAAAGCTAAGTTGGTATTATAACGTAAGACGCAACGTAGTTTCGCTGGAAACGGTTTGAGTGGCAAAAAAATTGAAAAGATTGTCTAACACGTATAGATAATCGTATACATCAGAAACTGACGTATATAAACAAAATATGAAAATGAATAAACATGAATTTGCCTAGCTCGTTTTCTTGTTGTTTCGAAGTTGAACGGTAAAAATTGTACTAATAGTTACACCACAATTGAAACCTATAATTACTATTTGGAAAAAGCATATACCAGCCACACTCCTAATTTTTGAATACTGGAATTTCTATTTCATGTATTCTCCATTCCCATTGACCAATTTTTAAAATTTACTTTGGCCAGTGGCCCAAAATGATATTCGAACATGGTATTCCAACCAAATTAGTTCTTTGACGTTTGTCAAAGTAGTTGCGCCGAATTTCAAATTGCAGTGATTGTGAAGTTTGTATCAATCAATAACACAAGTTTACTTCAAGTTTTATTACATTATATTATGTTATTAATTTCTTAAGAATTATTGGCGGTAACTTGCAGCTGTCAATATGAAGTTAACTACTTTCCGATTTTCGGTAATATTAACGATACAAACAGCGTTACTGGGAATTGACTTGGGTGTAAATATAATATCTTTATTAACTCGCCAGAGTAATGCTATCATGCTTATGCTATTTATGTAAGTATTAATGCAATTTCTGAAATATTTCAATTATAAATTTAATGTTTTTAGAATTCAGGATGCTTGCCTAGTGTTAGCTTTGTCAGTTCTGCTGCTGACTTTCTTTTCAACTTATGTTTTTCAGGTTTGTAAACATTTTTTAAGATGAGTTTTATTTGTGGATTGTTTTTTTCACTTTTTGATCAAAAAACTTTCATTTTTCAGACGGGATTGGTTTATCTCCTCTATGAACGATTTAGATTTACTTTGATAATATGCATGTTCTACTTTGTTCTTACCACGATCGTACATCTTTGGTCCTTAATTATGAGATGGAACCACTTGAAACACAATTGGAATGCAATATTTCTTAGTTTCTTTGTTATCCAGAGATTAAGTAAGTCGTTATTATTTTTGACTTTACACTTTTAAACAAGAAACCATTTTTAGCGTCAGTGCTCTACTATTACTATTATAAAAGAGCATCATTAAGAATAAGCGACCCAAGATTTTATGAAGAAGTCGAATGGGAGCAGAATAGGTTGAGGCAGGCAAATATACCTGGGAATTGAAAATTGCCTTTACTGAAACCTGGAGTATTGCGAAAAACCCAACATTTACTGAAATAAATATGTATGTAATATTTATACAATTACAAATATTTTAAATTTTAACAAAAATTATACACATACAAACATTGTCTCATATCAAAGGAAAAATATACTCTTCTGCAATTAAAATTAAAAAAGAAAATGCTTATTATTGTTTAGCTTATTTCAAACTCTTGTAAAGGGGATATGAATACAGCAGAACACATAAAATTTTACATTTTTGCTAATCAGAATTATCATCTTCCTGCAAAAAGGCGAATTTGTTACTCGCTGCAAAATTTGGAGGTTCTGGCTCTTGAAGTTTTGGAAACTCCTTCTCATGTTTTTCTCTGAAATAGAAATGTCAATAACTAAAAACATAATTTAATCGAATAATTTACTTTCTATCCTCTTTTCTTAGCTTCTCAGTTTTTCTTTTGTTATCTGCCGGCGATTTATGCTCCTTTCTACTCTGAGAAGATATACGATTGTCATCTTAAAGAAAAATTAAATTTGATTCCAACCAAAGTTGACAATATTGACTCCTCACCTCCTCTTTTTTCTTTGGCTGATAAATCGCCGTCACTTTCTTCTCTCCTGGATGGTGGTCTCCCCCGCTCAATCTAAAGAGTTCCAAATTATCATATATACTATTAAGGGTAAATTGGTACATTATAAAACTGCACATGCACTTACAATCTTGCTGTTGTCATCCTCTTTGTTTCTCTCCATGCTATGATGAAAACTTCTCTCCCTACTGCTGTCTCTTGCCCTACTTTCTTCCCTGTCCTCATTACTTTCATCTTTTCTTTCACTACTACCCTCTCTCTGGTTTCTTACATCCCTATTTCCCTCTCGCTTTTCTCGACCTGGCTCAATCAATCTGTCATCCTGCTGCTTCAAAAGTTTTTCTTCAATCTGCCGCTCCCTTTCACTGGTATCGACCGGTTTGGCATTGCCGAAAATGGCGGCAGAAGGCACTGCTGTAGCAGGATCGATAGCGGGTTGATTTTCCAGAGGTTTTGTTCTGGGGGCCAACTGTAATCTCGGCCTTTGACGCGGCTCCCCTTCAGGAGGGTAAGGATCAGTTAAAAAAAATGCAGTTCCTAGATGCACTAAGGAAAGCAGTGAACGGGTTTACGCAAGAAACAACAAAAGCAGATAATGATGAGAAATATTAATACTTACAACTAGCTGACTCAGAATCCCTATCCTCTCTACCATTTCTATTGTTACTTCTTGTAATAATACTCTCTTCCCTATCTTCATATCTTCTGTTAAAACCCCTCCTATCATCCTTGTCTCTATCATCAAAACCTCTGCTTCTGTCAGAATCACGATAATTAGATCTTGAAAATCCTGCAGAAAAGCACTCAATATTAATTCAACAACATATATAGAACTATTTGCCTCTGTCTCGATCTCTGTCGACATCCTTGGACCTGTCACCATCCCTCCATGCACCTGGCCGGTCATCTTGATCTCTATTTCTACCAAAACCACTATCCCTATCCCTTCCAAAGTCCCTGTCCCGGTTAAAACCACGGTCTCTATCGCGACCCACATCTCTACTGTCGCGCATGCCCTCCCGTGTGAATGAAGAAACTCTACGTTCGTCGCCTTGGTCACTGGAACGATTTCCTGATCGCCAATCACCAAATGAATCACTAGGATTTCTGTCAGAACGTCCCATGTCACCCATCCGCCCTCCTCTTCTGCGATCATTGTCCACATTTGCAGCAACTTCAATCCGGATGCGCCGATTTTTTAACATCTAAAACACCAAAGAATGCATATTTTCTGCACTGAATGTAAGAAAATTATACTTACAGTGTCTGGAATTATTAAAGCATTCAGTAAACTGTCTCGGTCTTCAAATTCTACATAACCAAATCCTCTGAGCTTAGGTGCCTCACCAGATCTTTCATTCTTGGGAATTTTCATGTTAGCAATCTGGAATTATTTCAAAATTTCAAATTATCAGTTATCTGGCAACAAGTTCAACCATTTTTCATACCCTTAAATTTTTAAAAAACAATGCGATTTCATCTTCATCTACATCATAGGGTAAGTTTGATAGGTACGCTATGTATGGCGGTTCCTGCGGTACCTTTTCACTAATATCTTCAACATCTCTAGAAGCTTTTGGCGCCGTAGGGAGGACAACATTAACCATTTTTGGTCTTGAATCATAGCCATCTTAAAAATATAATTACGAGTTTAACGATCGTCAGGTGCATTTACTTACTTTCTTCCATGCCAATCAGACTGTGTCAGAAACGACTTCTCAGTAAACATTCTTTTTAAAAGTAGGTCTACAATAGATTAGTCTGAATTGAGTTTTGGTGGTCAAAAGACTACCAACTCGCAAATTGCACTCAAACTGCAGGCTACGAGAGTTTCCATCCATCCTAGTGCAACACCTATGCCTAAAGAGGCAATCCCGGGCTATAATCACTAGTTTGGCATTTTTCTGGTTCCCTCGCCTTACTATTAAGTAAGTCTCCTTCTAGAAGATAGCCGCCTGACTCAGACCTTCCCGTTGCAAGGAATGTAACCAAGTACATAGTGTGTATGCCCCAGGTGCGAGATTATTGTAGACCATATTAAAAAGTGTTTCAAAGTCCAAAAATCATCATGGTTACCACATAAATTAATTCAACGTTTATTTATTTATACAAGCAAGGTTACTCAACAGATTGGGATAGCCCAATTACAGAGCAGTACAAATTAAAATCAATTACAAATATCGATACGCAAAAAAATGTCTATTATAAAACACAACACTAACGCCAAATAACAAAGTCGGTGAATATGAGAAGAGCAATCTTGATGAAAAATAATTAAGGATGAAAAGACCTACTTCTAAGAAAGTTCAATTCAAATTATACAAAATAGATCACATAATAGAACATCCAGCAGTGATTCCCCGTAGCACGTTAGAAAGATTTTTAGTGTTACCGTAACCTCAGTTTTACTTCTGGTAGGCCCTCGGTATATTTATCAGTTAAAGATTACCACGGGTAGGGTTAATTTGGTTATCGTAATATATTATTTTGACGCCAGTTTGGGTGGGTGGGATTTTATTCGGTTACGATCAACCTCTTATAATTTGGATTGATCGTCCTGACAGGTAAGGTGTTTAATCCTTAATAATTCTTCGATTGGTCACATCCAAATAGTTGCTTAGAGTAACTGCGAACGTGGTGCCACGGAAAAACACTCCTATGCAGAGAAGTTTTTATTTCAGCCACAAGTAACCTTTTTAACATGATATTGATATAATAACTCAATAATACATTGAACATTGCACAATCAAAAAAATATCAAATTCAACGGAGGATTAAAAAATGGAAAGCGGTGGCTTTTTACCTGTGGTTGACAACTACGGAGGGCGGTTAATGAAACATTCCGCAAAATAAAAGCTGTGTAGTAAATAATTAATAATGTTACTATGCCTTAAATATACATTTTTATGTAGTCAGCGTAAAATGTAGTATTACATAAGGGTTTATTATAAAATTTATTGAATGTTTCGTTTTTGTCCGACTATCCTGCGGTCTTCCTAATAGTTTCTATTGAAGCACCGGTTGTAAAGGCTGCAGATGAAGCTAAATGCCGCGCGCTTAATTTTTTTTCAATTTTTGATAATTTATCGACTGATCTGTGAGGTGATGGGCTTATGGGTTATAAATTCTCAACCTCAACCAATTCGCTTTTGTTTTTCTTGTATAATGTATTAAAGTGAAGTGAATGCAGTGCTCAGGATTCTCTTTAAATAAAGTAAATCTTAGCAGAGACTGTAAATCAAGCTTTAGTTTTAAGTGATCATGGGTTTCCAGAGTTTTTCCTAGCGTGAGGTTTTCCAGAGCGGAGAATCTGCAAGGCATTTGGCGTGATCACATTCAATTTCTTTTATTTTACAAATATTCAGTTTCATATTTTTTTCTTGGGTTTTTATCTGCTACAAAATGTATGTATGGATATAGCGAAAAGGAAGATGTCAGTTTTCGTACTACTGCCATAGCTGCTTTGCTGGATTATTTATTTTTTATGTTTTACGCTGCCCATTTTGCTCAAAACAGAATTGCAGTTTTACCATCGTTTTTAATAATATGCAATTTTTGCCGAAGTTCATTATACTTTTGTTCTTTAATTTATTTATTATTAGTGGCTCTGTTGACATTTGGGTGTACTGGTGGAATCGATAAACTAAAGGACATTTATACAATATGTTTTCAATCTAGCAAAATTGTTATTTAATATTTTTCTAGTGGCACCAACACAGCAATATGTTTTGTATTTGGATTTGAAACCCATAAGCTTTTCCTTTAATATTGACCTTTCAGATGAATAGACAAGTGTATTGAAGCGAGAACTATACCAAACATTCTTTTTAAACAATATCAACATAAAAAATGCAACACAAACAATTTTAATTGCAAACTATAGTAATATTTCTTACCGCTAGTGGTTTGATTGACTTGTAAAATCACCAACCACATGCCAAATTGGTATTACATTTGCAAAGAAGTGTCATAGACCATGTCTCAAGAGCATACAGATTCATGCCCAATTAGTACATACCTCTGGCATGTGTCATAGATCATGCAGAATCATTTGTTTATTATACCCCAGCCTTTTAAAATTTTTATTACGGGCTACCAAAAAGGAAAAAAATTAACATGTCTACAGAATAGACAACCCCCTGTCAAATTGGTAATTGTGTGTATGATCCGATTTGTAATGCCTGGAGTCACCTTATGGTTCCCCACTTCCATTCTTTCCCATCTTGATAGTCATCTTTCTGATAAATTCCAAATCAGCTATTTTTGTTTGTTTGTTTGTTGTGCCTTCATTATTTTTATCACGCGTTCGCATGTTAATGTTCAAATTTTGATATTTTGGACTAATGTAGAAACTGTTATTTAGAAGTTTACCTGTATGTCTTTCCCGTATTTTATTTACTTAAATAATTATACGTTATTTTGGTACTTACTTGAACTGCTATCCCATTTTTAAAATTTCTTTCAAGAATCCTCATTTTGTTTTTGAGGTAGTGCATTTCTTTGGCTGCTTTCTGTCTTTGCTTTGCATTTTTATCAGTATCACTTTTATCACTTTAATGACACCTATGTTGTAATTGTGCAAAAAGTATACCCAGGCTAGGAGCGGTAAGGTTGCATAGACACATTTTACACCTCGTGTCTGAAGTGCTACAGAGTTTTCTATTCGGGTGTGACCAATCGAAGTATAATAAAAATTATGTTCCTAATAAGTTATTTAAAAGCTCATCTTTGACAATATTATAATTTAATCTCAACCAACATATGAGAGGAGAGTTAGAAAAATAATTATTCGTGATAGCCACGACACTGAAAGTTAGCCTCATCCGAAGTGTACAGGGGCTAGCATTAAAAAGAATATAGTTCACACAAAACTCAGACTGCAAATGATTATTTACTATCTTATAAACAAAGAAAGTTGTCATTTTAGGAGTGAAACTCTGAAAGAATGAAAGTCTGTCTACTGTCTATCTATTAATTTTTTGTATTGCAGTTTGGGTAAAAAAGTAATTAATAAATGTAGATAAAATATACAAAACAGGAAAAATAGATGATTTAGCTTAGGGAAACTCTTTAGTCTGATGGTCATGTCAGACATCATTCAGTGAAAAGTATAATATGCAGCACCTTTATCAACTTGTTGCAAAATATTATTATCTCGTCAAGATTTTTTGCTTAAATAATTGCATCAAACAGAAAAATATTTACTGTAAAAGATCACTAAAACTTCGAAACTGCTCTTTTCAATATCAGTAATCAGTTTTCACCAAACCAATTTTTCATTTTGAAGGCATTTGAATTCTAAGATCTTTCGAAAAGAAAGAATATATTAAATTACAAAAAATGTATTTAAAATTGAAAAAGAAATATGTAAATAAATCTCTCTATTCATGAAAAAATCTTACCATAATCATCAACTTCATCCGCCCAGCTAGTAGTTGATTTCCTAATTGGCTGAGTCGGTAGAGCACCGGGAGTTTCTTGTAAAAAGTCGGTCAACGCAAGGGTTTTCCCTTTGGTCTTTTTTCCTTTTTTTCCTAGAAGGGACCAATTTATAAGTAATGGATAAATACGTTTTAAAAACACGAGGTCGCTTTGGTGAGAGTAAAGAATTTATAAGAATCAAAAATGAATATCTAAATGACTGTAAATATTAGTAAAATTTATTTTGAATACAGATTATGGTACATACGACAATAAAAAAAAACTACATCCAAGAAATGTGTATTCACTAACCTGAAGCCATATTCAAAGAAGCAAAAACTATTCCGTAATGGCAGAACTGGACAGGTTTGACGTCAGAAGTAAATGTCAATTGTATTGTTCCGGTAGGTTGGTAAACATAAGAAATATAAAATAACTCAAAATAAATTATTTTATAATTTTCTATCAACGCCACATCAAATATCTTCAAACAGGAATGTCAATTTCTAATATTTCTTCTAACCTCATTGCCACTGGAATATTGTTTACGTTAGTGACTACAAAGGTGTGTTGAGTTTGGGAGATTACAAACCATATGGCTACAAATCTTAAAAACAATTATATTCTTTATATAGCATTTTTGTCTACATTAGTTTTAGTGAAAGTCAATGTTAGCAAAGCAATATTTTTGAAGATTGTTAAGATAGCGAATCAAGTTTTTTTAGTAAAAAATATATCGGTATATTGGTAACACTGACGAACACCTCATCAAACTTGTCATTAAGTTGGGTGAAAAAGGGGTTATATCAAGAAAGATAAAATGAATGCGTCAGTTAAAATCGAATATTTTGAAAGTCAGTTTCTTTGGGAATGAAATTAAGTTAATGGGCACGATGTATGTCTGTTTGGTTGTTCTTTTCTCACTAATTTACTCGATCTTGGGTACCGAATTAACTTTCGAACTGACGGATAATGGAAAAGAGTGTTTTTATGAGGAAATTAGGGCTAATACAACAGCTACATTAGAATATCAGGTGCGGTTACACTAAATTTATATTTTGGAATAAAATTATTGTTGAAATTTATTTAGGTCGTCACAGGAGGCCAGTATGATGTAGATGTAGTATTAGAAGACCCGAGGAGGAATGTTCTTTACCAACAAGCAAAAATGCAATTTGATTCCCACACTTTTACTGCCCAAACAACTGGGATATATTCTGCATGTTTTAGCAATGAATTTTCAACGTTTTCCCATAAACTTGTTTATATGGATTTTCAAGTTGGAGAAGAAGAGCCATTGCCAGGAATTAGCAACCATATTACTGCATTAACACAGGTAATTTGAAAATAGAGACAAGTTATTTTAGTCAAGCTTATTCTGATGGTACTTGAATGTATCATGCACATAATATATGTCAATATCACTCATATTAACAGCATTTTTTAAAATTTCTTAGATGGAGTCATCTGCGGTTGATATTCACAAATATCTTAATGTGATAATAGATCTACAAACTCACCATAGGCTTCGGGAAGCACAAGGCAGGAAGCGTGCGGAGGATTTGAATGAAAGAGTGCTATGGTGGTCTATTCTTGAGTCTGTGGCAATAGTGACAATTATGGTTTCACAGGTGTTTATTTTGAAAAACTTCTTTACTGATAAGAAACCATTAGTGAGTCGATAAGACTTGTGTAAAATGTAATTTAACTGTGTTATAAAGTGTAAATGGTGGTATAAGTGGAACAGATTAGCAAAATTAAAAACTATTTGTTTCAATAAGTTATTGATTGCAAACGACTTTGTATAGATTTTGTGGTATCTAATCCTGTAATAAAAGCCGTAGCATTTTCAGATCAAATTAGTATGTTATAGAACCTTAGAACAAAATGAAATGAGAAAAGTTAAATCTAAATATTAAAAAGTAGTGGAGTGTAGACTTAGTGCCAAAAAATTGCCAAAATATTAACAAAAAAACTAAGGATATTTCTAAGATTCTTTATTGCATTTCTACATAACATTCCTGCTAACCCCTAAACTGGCAACCAACTTTGCATAAAATATAACAAAAAATCACAGTACACAGTAATACATAAGTTGACTAGAATCTTTTACAAAAATACTTTATTAAACGAACATTATTTTCTAACAGAGTGTGAATGTAGAACAGCAAATTAGCAAACAACATAAGATTCAACTCAATAAATAATTTGTTTCTTAAAAAGTTATTATACTAGAGATGTTTTGCCTTAAGTTATATTTTGGTTAATGGTAACAAATTTTAGGCGTCAATTTAGAAACATTTACAAAAAACTAAATATATAGAACAAAAAAAGGAGTGCTATTAAAACCATTGTACCATTTCAGAGATGTTTATCTCTATCTCTTATTTTATATACACATGTTTGTTGAAATAATTTTTTGTTGGATTTGCCAAAGACCTTTAACCCGCCTTAATATTTGAATTAGTTATATAAAAAAAATGCATTTTTTCATCATATTAACATAAAAAAGATTATAATTTTGAGTAAAGCACAATAAATACGCTGATTAGTAATTTTAGAAAGAAATAATTCACATGTCTCACAAACCTCAAATACAAAGCTGCTTAGATATATAGAATAGATAAGAATTCTTGAACAATTGCGTTGTTATCATGTTTACACCCAGTTATAAGTCAAAAAAAGTTCGTGGACCAAATAAACAGCAGTGTTCATATAATTCTATATATGTAATTAATGAGATACCAAGAATAAATAATGGAAAATTTAACAACAGGGGTTGTTTATACTTTTTTAAATAAACTTGTAAATATATTTGCGCAAAATATCTGTTAAAAACTAGTACATCTATAAAAAAATAAAAAGGCAAAAATATCACAAAAAATTAAAACATGGCCATTTCTTTCTTTCTAGTGGTGAGCTTTTGCGGACTTCGATTGCACTGTTCTATTATTTCTGAAATCAAATAAAATTCTTTTAATTTATAGTCGCAAAACAAAAACTAAAACCAGATTGGAATATTTAGGAGATCAAAACGTAAGTCTTCATGTGTACATGAAAACTGACTTGCATAACAAATTTAGGTGGCATTAAGTTTTATTGTTCTTACTTCCTCAACCCTTTGATGCAAGTTTTTGCTTTAATATTAAAAAAAAAACAACATTGGTTAAAAGAAATGAAATAAAAAATCTAGAATGGAAAATTATATTGTTTTTTATATATGCCAGGTGTTTTTAGCATGATTAACCAACCCTAGAGGGTATTTTGAGTACATGTACTCAATAAAGTACAAACCAGCGGCATAACCTTCTGCGATTTTAATATATTATTGTTGTAACATTTTCAAAAATTGATAAATTTTTGGAAAAATTTTCTTTTGTTTTAATATTTCTAGAAATACCTAATTGTTGTAAATTGTTGAAAATATTACAACAGCATTAACATAAAAAAAAATGGGGACGTTTAAGATAGGGGGTCTATTAAGAAAATACCTTTATATTTTCTGTTAATAATAAGTCGTATTTTTTCTTAGTAATGAAAAAGTGACAATCCGCTCCTGTCAAATTTGGATGAAACTTTCTAGAATTCTAATTCACGACATTGACCATTTAAAAATTCTTACTTTAAGTTGTGAACGTCGGTGAATATTTTGGTTGCCATCTTGTACTTATTTTCTTGTTCGAGTTTCGAGGTACCACGTGCGGACGAATGAGGTGCCATCTTAATGGTTAGATGACTATTATCTATTTCATTTTGTATAAGATCAGTTACAATAGCTTTAACTTGAGGGCATATCGCGGGTGGAGTATAGTCTTGGGTAATTCTCAGTGGCATGTCCAATTTCAAATCCAGGACATTTTCCCCCTAAAAATTAAGGATAATATTATATTTACTTCGATTAATAAAGAACGTTACTCTGTAATTAGGAGAGGTCCTGCCCATTTGTAGGGCATAGTCTGATATGGGTCTCCTATAATTATGAGCTATTGGTCTTTCAGTGGGTTCAATGTGACTCATTTCCTTTCTGAGCATCCAGTTGTCAACGTTCTCATCAAAGTAAGCTAAACTTAAAATCCTTGATCTTTCCTCAGAAGGAATAAAGTTGTCAATAATGAGAAATAGTTTTCTTAACTGCCTACAAAGAAACATTTCATCAAGACAGAAGAAAATACAGATTTGTTAACGACAACGAACATTGCAGCTTCATTATTAGCTTCTTCAAGCTCTTGCCTGTCCTTAAGATAAACTTCGTGATTATCTTTCATCTCCTGCCGAATTTGCTGTAACTTACTGTTTAACCTTTTCATTTTGTCCCTCTTGTAGTCCACCTGCTGTTGAAGGCTGGCAAAGACCTGTTTGAGTTCAGTACAGGTTTCCTCTTCAAGTTCAAGACGCTGTTGTATCTCTCTTTCTCTTTTCTACAAGCCAGTTCAACAAAAATTGGACAAACCGCAGCTAATAACTTCTCACTTTTCTATCAGCAATTTCGAGTCGTTGCTGTTCTAATTTTAACTCATTTTCATTGACACTGTCTAAGATATTCTTGCCGCCGTGAACCATCTGTTTTTCCAATGCTCTCAATTTCTTAGCTAATTCATCAACTTCCAGTTTGCCTACCTCAAGTTGTTTTTCTTTTTCGCCTTCATTAATTTCACTCTCTGAATTTTCATCCTCTCCTTCACTGTCAAGCCTAAATGTAATGAAATACTCCTATGTTAAAAATAAAAACTAAATCATTAGGGTTGATTTTTTTTTCGTGTTTAAAAAGTCTTTCGAACAAACAAAAATTATTAATTATTTTATTTATTGAGTTTGTTAGTTTGCTTTAAAAGTATTCAGTGCATAAAATGTAACTTATATAACACCATTCGATTTTCTTTAAATTCAATAAATACTCCCAAACTTCTTAACTCATTACTGCGGAAGAATGATTAGTGTCAAGATTCACTAGGCTTCCCTTGAAATTGCAAAAGTGGTCTTACCCATTAATCTCAATTCCATTGCTCTTTTCACTTATTAAAGCCTTCAATCTTTCAATTTCCTCCTGCAATAACAACAATTTGCCATTTTTAATATCTTCATTCTTTATGGGTTTATTTTTGATTGACTTGGCTCGATAGGCATATCTTAATGTGGTTATTGTCTCTTCATAATTGATGTTAGCTGGACCAACATTAGCTATCATAATGGTCTTGCTGTTTCCCCCTAAGGAGTCTTGCAACAACCTAGTAAGTTTTGAGTCTCTATAAGGAATGTGCGACGAATTTTCAGCGAGTGCATATATAACATTCCCTAGAAAAACAAAATTAGAAAAATTTTTACCTCCCGCTATCTTGTGGACGTTACCTAAGGAAGACAATGCTTTATTAATTTTAGTGGCTTCTTTTAGTCTATCTCCAGTAGCACCAGTTTTTGATTGCCTTTCGCTGCCTGCTAAATCCACCAAATTAAGCTTACCTACTTTCATGGTTTTTGAATCAACCTCTGCCATTTCAATAATAATTTGAAATATGGCGTGAGATCGAGAACTGTGTTCATTCATATTGGTGGCACCAGTTGTTCTGTTAAAATTGCCATTTCTCATGGCTTTCAACATATCTTTAGCGCTCTGGCAGGTTTGTGAATGCAAATTGGTAACAACAACTCCTGAATCAGGTAGCTCCCGTAATTCATGACTTTTTGTGCTTTTGATTCTTAATAAATCTCTAAAATGCATTTTTTTTTTAATGTGAATAAAAACTAGTGCACATTGTCTAGTCGTTGCTTTATTTATAGTACCTTATCTCTTCCATGTAAATCTCAATGTACCGAACACTGACTAAAAACTCTACACCGGTTTTTCTTGAAATGTGGCTCCATATTTGATTGAATGTTCTCGGAATAATACCCATATTTTCACCTTCCTCATCATCATCCCCCTCCATAGTGTACGTTTTTCCTGTACCAGTTTGACCATATGCAAAAACACATCCATTGTATCCATCCAAAACTGATACTACCAAAGGTCTTATAGTTTCATCATATATTGACTGTTGCGTTGATCTGAAAAATCGTCAATTTTAGGAAATTTATGTAAAGAACACATTGTGAGTTGATGTCACATCAGTGTATGTACTGAAAGCTTACATTTCGTCATAAACTGCATCATAGGTAAATATCTTATTTCGTTCATTTTCAGTCTTCGCCTTCAAATTCTCAACTTCAATAACCCCCCTATTTGAATACACTTTTACAATGTTTGAACATTCCTGCTCTTGTTCCTTTAAACTTAAAGGTCTACACCTGACAATGACTTGTACAGATTCATTATTGGAATTTCTCTGAAAATCATCCGTATTTGAAATCATGTTTAGCTGTATTTGTATATTAAACTCACATCTGTTGAATTTGGATCGGTATCAGTTGAAGTCATTATTTTATCTATTGAAGGTTACGTGAGAACCATAAAAATCGCTAGCTGTTTACTAGCTGCGATTTGTCTAACTACACCGGAGTTTTATCGATTTTGTGCGCCACCTTCATACATGAGGAAAAATATTTTTTCAAAATTACTAAATCTTGTTACCTTGAACATCATTAAAATTTGTGGTAAATAAGATAAATGGGGAAAAGTATTTTTATCCCTGTACATTTTTTGACGCATCTTTATGTAATAATGGGAAACGCATCATAGTATTATTTTAGAATAAGCTTTAAAAACTTAAAATATGATTGATAAAAAATATTTTGCGTTCTTGTTTTAAGTTAAACTGTTTTGTTAGTTTGCATTTTAAATGAATTAAATGTTTTAACTTTTACGTTTTGACGAAACAAAAATTCCTTTACAAGGTGTCACAAAAAATAGTCACAGAGTTTAGAGGGTCCTAAAAGAAATCCAACAAGCAAAAACGCAAGTTTGGTGATCTTCGAACCGAATGATAATATCGTTATACGAAGGTAATAATGAAAAAAATATATAAAAAGGTCTTTGTTATACCTTCGGTTCGGGCACAGAACAAACTTAAGTTAAAACACAAACTAACCGCGGTTATCCATAGGCAGAGACTAAAAAATTAATTATCTTTTAATATTCAAGGATCCACGGAACAAATTGCTCTGCTTGCCATCTATTGACAAGTAGTCAAATATTTTCCAAGCGCTTTCTTTAATTCCTGCTGAATACCAAAAGCGACGAACTGGTTTTCCTAGCAGGCAACTCAGGAACTGCAGGAACTCAAGAATGTTCGCTGAAAATTTTCAGTCCTGGTCTAACCAGTCGTGGTAGCGAGATTTACGCGTGTTGCCGGTCGCTTGCTTTATTAACATTTTCCGATAATTTTTACGAAAGTGACACCTGTTCTTTTCATTTTGATTTGATTGCTGCTATTTGAAATTTTGCTGCTATATGGATTAAGTTTAGTGTACAGTGTTCAACTATTATATAGTTTGTGATTCATAGGTTGCGGTTTTAATGGTAGGTTTAAATGTTTACTTCCTTTGCAAGTTCTTTTAGGTAAATGTAAATTTCTGTCTGTTTTTTTTTTTTAATTTCGAGAGTGATTTTTTCACACCCTAATTTAAGTATCATAATTGAATAATTATGACTCTGTAAGTTGTGAAAGTAATTCTAATTTTAAAAGCGGTCGGTTAATTGTTATGTTTATTTTTAAATCTAGGAATTACGCGGAAGCTAGACTAGACTAAAATGTGAATGATTGTTTTTGCTCTTGTAAAATAAAGAAATCTACAATGCAAAAATTAGACAGATTAGGTAATATTCAAAGCTCTTTTAAATGCATTTCTTTTTTTATTCTAAAGTATTTAAATTATTATGAACTATATCTTTAAAGTTATTTGATCTGAAATTAATAGTATATTAAACGATCGAGGAACTTTAGTATAAATATAGAGCTTGTCGCGTTATGAGCAAATCAAAAAAATCTTCAATTTCTTAGTAGATTATTTTGGCCGTATAAATAAACAAAAACATATTTTAGTTGGAAAGGCGAGTTTGAAACAAAGACAGGCGAGACGAAGGCAGCTGAAATATAAATCTATGTATTAACTCAATACCTAGAAATATTTCAAATGTGAAGTTTTTTTATTAATTGTTTGGAAAAATCAGTTACTCTTATCAAATTTGTAACTGACAGTGCAGCGCGATATATTATACTTTAATAAGTGCGTGGTCTCTGGTCACTAGGCGTGGCCAGCATAATATATTTTTATTCCAAAGCATTATATTTATATACTTTTAGCTTTTTTACTTGTTTGGTGTTCTATAAATTTGAAATCCAAACATTTATATCGAAGAAATAGGCAAAATTTTCGAAAGTAGGAATAATATTTTGGCTTTGAATGTATGAAGAATTATGTATTACATATTCTATCCCCCAATATTTAAACACAAATCGATAGTTAAAAATTCAATTTTTAGATAACTGCAAATCTAGTGTAGATCCAATTTTCTGCCGGATAAAACTGCAGTTTTGTAGCAAGCATTTTCCCCTTATTCCTGCATCGCGATTTGCCAACTTAACAAATTAATTTATTCTAATTTTTTTTACCTGATATTACGTTAAATCCGAAACTTGAGTTACGCGAAAATTAGTAAGTGCTGAGTGACGCGTCTGTTTCGATGATTGCTGTAGCCTTTCACTTTCCTAGCTGTCTCATACTGTATATCGTATTCATTCTTCGATGTTTCCTTAGATATCGAAAATCACGTTTTCTCATATCTGCCTGTCTATCGGTTTTTCTTGTGATGAATTATATTATTAAGTATTATTTATTTCTCGAGAGATATAAATAGCGACAGGGTTTTCACATAATACAAGGAAAAAAACAGGAAATCCTAAAAGGTAATTCTTCAAAATAGTCGACCTATATTTTCTGAAAATAAGACAACTATACGAAGAGATACCATTTATAATGCCTAGTGTATTCATAAACAGGACGTTGACCTTAGGTCTGTTTGACATTTATAGATTGTTCGCTTCGTTTAACACCGTTCAATGGAGAAAATTGTATGAAAGCAATTGTTTAAAAATGTCGTTACTATTATTATATCTACTATTTTCTGTATTACTCTTCTCTTCAATTTGAAGTCGGCAAGTTTAGTTGGGATGAGTCATCGCTTCATTGTTTATTTACTGGTAGGATTTATTAATACAAATTTATGTCCATGTTGCCAAGCTCATTGTTGCCGAAATAGATTTCTGTTAATGCGCAATAAGTTTAATCATTTTTATGAAAACGGTTTTTCGTGCTCATTACGTTTGATATGTCAAGCAAAAAATAAATAAATAAAATGCCTAAAGAAAATTATAAATAAATAACAGTTAAAGTTAAGTATTCTCAAAATATTCTTGTTAAAATTTTCAAAAACAACATTTTTGAATTTGCCATTTAAATGGACTTATATCTACCTAATGTTATTTGTTTGATGACTTTAGTTTGTCATTCTTTCCCAATGCTCCAGCCACTATTTAGTGCTCGATTGAGGGTTTCATATAAAAATTTAATGCCAGGCCATTCGACTTTTCTTTTCTAATAAAAATAATTCTAAAACACCAAAACTGATCAAGAATTTTGATACATCATGTCACGAGTTCATTCTGTTATTTTGTAAGATAAGATTATATTGTTTATAGCGTAAAACCGTGCCTCCACCATTATCAACAATCGATGCAAAACTCGAAGCATATAGGCCGATTCTCGAAGCGATGACGTTCATTTTTAATCATTTAAAAAAGAATCCATGTCCATAAAAGTCGATTTAAAAATATCTACTATAACAATATTTGATCAAAATGTTGATGACACAACACCTGTTTATGTTTTAGTAATGTTTCTAATACCATCCCTTTAATCCAGGACACTCATTTCAGTGAAAATAGAATAGAATTTGAGGAGAATTTGTTATTGTCAAAATCTAAATTATCACCTGCTCTATTTTCCAAAACGATCACTTTTGTTCTGTTGTTCTGCTATATTCAATGTTTTGTTACCATTTCATAGTGAAATTTAATTTTTTTAAAATTTAAGTTTTGCCAATCAAAACTAAGCATAAAACTTTGATATATATATAGGTCGGCCTGATGTATTCGCCTTTAAATCCGAGTTTCCTCTAACAGTATTGCTGAACTTTCCCATAATAAATAATTTATGCAACAATTATATAACGAAAACAATCGACACTAACGCGAAATGGATTTTCCTACAAAACCACCGTTGCGTTTACTCTCACTTTAGTAGTGCGAGTAACGGTAATTTTTCGCTGCTTCACGCGAAGAGATAAAAGATTATTAGAGAAGTGATTAACAAAGAATGAAATATTTTTCGACCTTAGTTTATTCTTTGTTTTTTAGTATTACTTTCCTTTGAAGACAGTGGTTGGTATTCTTTCTATTTATATTATTCCAATATTGTTGCAACCGCCATACTAACTCTGATGTATGGTATGTACTGATGTACTGATGTATTATATAGATGTTATTATTTTGCTTCAAATGTTCACAATTTGTCATACAAAACATATTTGGGTACATAATTTTAAGATGACATAAAATGCTAAATACAAAGTTTATTAATGTCAAATCATAATCACCTCAATATTTCAATTTTAATATTTGAATAGCTTTCGACTAACTGGTGACCAACTGGCATTTTGAACATAAGGTACAAAGAAACGAGAAATATAACTAATATTTTCGTTAAGTAAAAAACAATTTCATGTATTCTAACATGGATCGTCCCCGGACTGCGAACAGAGTTATCTTATCTCTGAAGTGAGTCTATCCCACAGAGCTTCTCTTAGTTAACGTTTTCGTAGAACTCAAAAATGAAGTATCAAAAAGTGTTATAGCAGCCATCTTACTTGTCAGTTTGCTTAATTAAAACATTGCTTACAATCTGTCTATTATGTGCCGGACATGGTTTGCAAAGTAGCTGGTGAAATGTTTATTTATAATTTCTTTATTATTGAATTAAATTGAAATAAATCGGTTACTTTATTAGGAGTCTTAAAATATCTATACATAATCCAAACAAAATTCTATTGCCTTAGAAATGAGATTTTCTTGATCTCAGCAATGTAATGATGGGTATTATTAGAGCTTGGGTTTGGCTATGTACGGCACTGGTTTTCGGTGGATGTCAGTTGTAACCTAAATAGAGATGCCCAGTAATTCGTTGGAGGTGGCTGTTACGAATTTAAGTCAAGCGTACTGTATTCACAACATATATTCGTCTCACCATGTTATTGCGAGAATCTGATACATTAACGTGATAGAAATTTGTCGTTAAGTTTGTACTACGCCGTTAACTCAAACTAAAATGCTATATTTTACGACCGATTTGTTTACATTGGACTCAAATCTATTGCAATATGTAAATCGAATTGCACGGTATTGTCATTGAAAGTCGGAGAGTGATTTATACGTGACAAATTTGTCTATGACCGCTGTTTGCTTCAATGCCATTGAAACTACCGTACCATTAAAATTAAGTGGTTCGCTTCATTTTAAGAAATTTGCAATGTGCTTTTAATATAATACGGATCCTCCGAGTAGGAAATTGAGTACTCGCTATAATGACCGCAAACGTCTTCTTTGTCAATCTTCTGCAGCAATTTTTATGCATTCGTGGAAGGATGCGTACAATGAATGCAGAGCCCGATTACATTTGTTTCGTAACTTTAATACACATTTTGATCTGTAGTCGAATAGTTTGAATAAAAGTTATAAATACTATTTTTAAAATTTAATATAACGTGTCTTTGTTTGAATGTGATATTGGTAAATCCTGACGTTGAGTATGTTTTATGATGGTTTTATTGTTGTGGATCATGAGATAAAACAAACCTAAAAGATGATTTTATTAAATCGCAACTGTTTTTATTTATTTATGCATAAAATGCAGCTAATTGAGTCTTCGCAAACCAAAATCGCCAATAACATATCAATTTTAGTTTTGAAAACAATCAACAATTTGTGCCCACTCTTTTCGAGTAACAGTTTTTGAACTTTGCGACGGTTGTGTTGCTATAATTGTTTTCATAATGAAATAAGGTTGTAGGAAAGCCAGTAGAAGATAGAGCTAATTCCAAGAATTTCTTATTGTCATTCTATAAAAATTAAAATTAACTGTGGAGAAGCAAATACTGTTTCAAGACATCAAAAAAAGTTGCAAGAGATTGTGAATATACTACATCGCTAAGGAAACCCAAAGCGCAGAAAAATGTTCTAGGGGAATGTTCGGTGGAATATTAAAACAAAGTCTAGCCATTTATTACTCTAGGTTCAGAAAATACATATATGGCCCGTGAGTTTTATTCGCAGTGGTTGTTCTAGCGATATTCGTTTATTTTTTAAGTAATAGATAATTAAAATTTCCTGTATATTATGGAACAATAACATTAAATTGTTAAAAATTGTAGCTACTGCATGAGACCATATGAATTGTACATATATTACATTAAATGAATTTTTAAGGATAGGCGGGAGTATGTCACACTAAGGCAAAAGGTGATATTTTATTGCAGATAAAAATGTATTTTTATTCTCAGGGGATAATTAATACTACGATGGCAATAGTTGTCGTCCGTGGGTACGTACTAATTGTTTAGAGAAACTTTTTAATTATCTGGATCTTTTCAAATATGTAATTTTAGTGTTTTGCTATCTTCCGGTATACTATATACTATATTCTATAAGCCAGACAAAATAAACATTATTTTTTAAATATCGGTTACTAATTAACCTTTGTCCTCCATGTCTCACAGTCGTTAGTGTTTAGTATAAACACAATAAAGATAAGGCTTTTCTTTTCCTTTTCATCCCAGTTAAGTACTTTGTAAATGAGATTCTTAAGTCAAACAACGTGAAATGTGGTGTTCACACTTTGTGTCAATAACGGGTAAATGGGCGTCGACGTAGTATAAACAACAGGAAGAAATGTCGGGAATACTTTCCTTTATATACTGCCTATCCGCGCAGGTGATATTTGAGTTTTTAATGGATGTAAAAATAGGTTTAAAAGAGAGCCGTTCAGATGCAGACGTTTGCTTTCTTTCTGATTAAAATTACGATTTAGGCGTTGATTTTAAAATCCAGGTTTTTGTATAAAGGAGGGCGTTGAATTTCCGTTCACGGACCATTATTAAATTAGCATAATGTTAAAATATTTAGTGGTTTAACTCTTTCAAAGTTCAAGATATTTTCTTTTTGTTTTTTTTTTTCGCGCTTAAATAAAATAAATTTCTCACAAAAGGCTTTAAATTTATAATTAAAATTAATTAACGCATTATATTTCATTTTGTCTGCAACAAAATGAAAGCAATATATAAGAGGTTCAATAAAGAATGCTGTTAATTTCTATTTTACATATAATGTGCAAAGGCTAACAGAGAAATATAATGCACAAATGCAGTTCGATTGTAAAAAGCCAATATTGTACAGGTTTAGCAAAAAGATATTGTGCAAGTAAATAATATTTTATTCCCAATTAAATCATTCGACTAAATGCAAATATGCATAAATGTATTTATATTTATTTTCGATTTGTAGTAAATGGATATGCACAAGAAAAATATGTTTGTTTTCAGGTCGATTATTATAAAATTGTTAAAATGTTTTATTGCGAGCATATTTGCTGAGACAAACATTTTAAATTAGGTAAACATGTATTCTTGTGTATAAGAGATCAACATGGTGCTTTATATCATTTACCTTTAAATGACCCCTTAGTTTATCGAACTACAACTTCAACAAAATTAGAAACATTCTCATATAGATATTTTTTTGCCAACTGTCTGTAAATTCATATATGGATGGAAAAATGTAATGAAAAATTATTCCCGGATATCATCCGAAGGTTTGTTAAAATCCCATTGAAATGTCGCAGATGATTCCCGATCAGTTGGCATTTTCAACGCTTCCACATAGAAATCAGTCTCCACACTGGGCACTTATCGGAGTAGGTGTATTTATATCCTGCGCCTGACGTTGCAATGACGCTAATTGGTCGGAGCTATCGATGGCACCGCCCCCGAGTTGCCTCGTTTTCTATTTCGTCTAACGTTAGATGGTTAAAATGTCAAACGAAGTCATTGGTGAAACATCCGCAAAACACCAGTTTTGTCTGATATTTATTTAAACAAGGCGAGACTCGCGAAACAATTTAATTTTTGAAGTGCAGCCTCGTGCAAACAATAAAGAAAAATATTTAAATTATCTGAAAAGTCCTTTTACATTTTCTTATCACTATATCATCTAAAAATATTTTTTTATAATATATCCATTATATATATATATATATATATATATATATATATATATATATATATATATATATATATATATATATATATATATATATATATACTACTGTAATGCTTTTTGCAAAACTTCCGGATTCCTCCTGCGTCGGTTTTTGCTTAGTCGAAATTACTGACGTTTCGTCAATCATCCTGTTGGCTTCTTCAAAGCTTGACTGAAACTGTTTTCAGTCAGTTTCAGCCAAGTTTAGTCATAAGTTAATAAGTACAACCACTAAGTTTAGGTTTAAAAGAATCTTGAATCATGAACCTTCGTAGAATAATTCATGATTTGGAGAAAATATGATCATTACATCAAAAACTATTTTCTGTGACACATTGACTAAAAAGAGTAAAATTTTGATATTATCCTGTACAGCGAAATATAAGATGAGTAAAAAAGTACGGAAAATTGGATACTTTGTCCCTGTGACAATGGTATTGCGTTCCAGTAAGATGTTCCTGAGTAGAACTAAGAATTTATTAATTACAATTTCAATGCCTGGTTGTTGCATGTTGTTAATATGTACAGATAAATGCGATTACAAGGTACATTCATTACTGTTATTAGTTGTAATTCCGTAAATGAAAACGATTAAACACCGAGATTACCGTTGGTTAAGCGCACGGAGTTTATATCGCTACCGGTTGCCGGATTCATTAATCTTTCATTAATTCAAAAATAACATTTCCTATTTACAACTTTTTGCTCCAAAAACGTGACCACTATATACGTAAAGCAATACTTATGATCTTTTAAATAAATAAACCTTGAACGATACCAAATTTCGCAGCTTTCGATAATAAAATGCGTCAATAATATTTGAGGAAACTCAGCTCAATTTTTATGTGACCAATCATAGGGACTGGCAGGCGTGTTTCATGAATATTGCAAGAGACATCTCTTTATAGAATTTACAGAGCGACGGTGTGGAATATTGGTTTATTTCCATAAACAAACTCCGAAACTGTTCATTCGGTTTTTAAACATTTGAATTAACTATATTTCAAATAGATTTATTGTTATAGTATTTATTAAGGGCTGCGTTTTAATGTATCTGAATTTAAGATGCTTTTTTGTATAATGTCATTTTACTTTGTGCCACTTTTAAAGAGCTAGAATATGGTCAATTTCTTCATCTAAAAGGGACAATAGAAAAAGAAGTTTTAATATTTGTCGTTGTAATGTAATATAAAAAATGTGTTTTCATTTCTGCGTTTAGTATTGTTTTGTGTCCAACTCGGTGTTCAAGAATTGTCATAGTTTATTTCTAACAATTATATGCTATACGTTATTGTTAGAGATGAGTTTGACTCTCGATCTATAACGACCATAATGCCGCGCGATTCGACACCATGGCAACCGCCTTCGTCAACTCCGCGTAGAAGTTCCGATCTACGGTTTCAATATATTTTTTTTGTTAATTATATTCTCTGTAACGCGCCTTTTTTTCATTAGAGTTCTTTACTCAGAACTTCAGATTTAATTTCCATTGTCGCTGAAATATCGAACTGTAAACAAGATTCGTTTCAGTTTAAGAAAAAGTACAAGAATTTCATCTTAAGAAATGTGTGCAGAGAAAATAGGTTTTATAAAAATTGCGGCGCAAATTGTTGGAAACAGAACAATAAATACCCGTATATAGATGGCGAAAAATTATGGTTTTTATCATATTCATACAAGCTTGCCCTAATTGAATAATAAATAAATAAAGCTAGGAAGGTCTCTTGCGGTACATTTTTGGAATTAGAAAAAAATTATGAAATCTTTTATTTAACAACATAAAATTTTCCTACAATTTCATTTTTAATTTGTTTATTATTTACATAAATATTTTACGGTAGCACGGTATACGGTAGGCGAATCTAGATTGTAGAAATTATTCTTAAAAAGATTTTACAATTTTGTCACCACTATTGTTATAAAGTTTGAGATATTTTAGGACGGGTTCTTTGGGTAAAAAAAACAACAATTAGTCGAGAACCATAACCATGAAAAACCTAATGGCTGATAGCATATAGGCTGTAAGAAAATTGTTACACCTCGGGCTACTATGAGGAGCGGAAACCTGTACTTTGTGTCTCCATACACTTAACTCGTTTTTTCTGACATCTTGGGAAAAAACGATATAGCTGTTGACCCTACCAAGGCAAAAATTTTCGTAAAGAAAAACTAACCAAAATACTTCGCGCCATTTTCCTTCAAACAGCGAGTTCCACAGACTTAAATTCGCAATTTTTTTTTCACAATTGCTTCATAAGTTAGTGTGTTACCGACATAGGTAGCGCCTCTATATCTCTAGTAACTATATGGAAAATACCGTGGCATAAATGTCACAGCCAAGGTTGAAAGCCAAGGTCTTGTTTGTTAAAAGGGAGGTTTCAAATGATTCGCGCATGTGCATATTAAAAAAATTAAACAGTGCTTACATTATTACATTTAGTATCAATATGTATAGAATTCAAGGCTCATGTCGTGTCTTTTCTAAATTTAACTCCAAAGCGTAACGAAAATAATTATCAATTTTTATTCACAACTTACTTAGCTTAACCGTTATGGATTAGGCTTCGCCTGTAGAGCTTTTGCGAATAATGCCAAAAAAAAGTATAAAAAATAAAAAAATGTAATATGTTATGTTAATTTCTTCCTTATTTTTTACCTTTTCCGTTCTTTCTTTATCCTTTATTTAAGGGTTACATTTTATTGTAGTCCGTTTTATGTAATTTTCGCAAATACGTAAGTTGATTTTCTTGATCGCGTTTTTTGATAGAAACAGTTCTATGCGTAATTTGACGCTAAACTCTCCATTATAATCGGTAGGCGCGCCAAAACTGCAACCGGTGAGAAATCTCCGGCAAGCATTTGAAAATGCTCCTGCAGGCGGCAACTACAGCGGGACCGGGCGATTCCACAGCGGGTCAGCGACCTTCCGGAAATGAAGACCACTATCCCGGAAGTGGCGCCCCTGCTGGCGGTGGCAATGATGAAACGCAACAGCTCCAGGATTGCAGCAGAGCGTTGCATGTGTTGGACTATGCTCCTGCTCCCGGCTGGACCGTCCACGTAACAAAAGAAGGACGATTGTACTACTGCAAGTAAGTTTGTTTATTATTAGGAAAGTTGATTGAAAAATATCGGTGTATCTGCTAGAACATCTAAAACTGTTTGAAAAAAGTATTGCACTAATATCTAGCATTGCCTGGAACTGGAACTAGGCACCTTAAATGGGATTATTTTTTCCATTTTATCTGAAAATTCTATACCTGTCTTGCAGTTTTCCGAAATTGTTGACAGACAGAAGAATCTACAATTTTTTTCTACACTTTTTACTACCATTCATAATTGTACTCGAGCAATTTTTGTGTATTTATCTCTAATGTGTGCTCTTATGTGCACTGTGTGAAAACTTTAACACCTATTTCCTAGGTAGTATTTTCGTTAGGATGCAGACTGTTGCTACTTCATTTAGCTCCTATAAAAAACGTCAAATAGTCAAGCGTTTTTCGGGACAAAGTTGCATAATTTAATTTTTTCTACTCCCGTCTGTAAAATACCTAATTACCCACCGATCTAGCGTGCGGGAAGCGTCACTTTACCACGTCAGTTTCGTTTCCCACGGAACCGAGCCACTTCGGACATTTCCGGGATTTTACCGCCCGGATTTGGGAGCAATTGAATGTTTTCGGAGATATTTCCCAATTGCCAATTCTGACGGTCATATCAGTGAATGTATTCGTGTTTTTTTGCGAAAATGTACCCAAAAACTAACGGTCGTAGAAAAAGTATAGTATGCAACACGTTCGGTAAAATTTTTAACTCACTCGTTTATTTAAAACTCGCTCCGCTGCGCTCCGCTCGTGTCAAATAAACTCGTGAGTCAAATGACGTTTACCGCACTTGTTGCATAATGTTCTATTTCCTTTTAAATTTTGTTCACACCACATTTACATTACAGTTATGGTAAACATTAATTTTGGAAACGAGTTGTTCAAATATATTTGTCTCTATCTGTAGGTAAAGCAATACCGCAAAATTAAAACCCTGTTATTATTATTAGTATTTTTGTACTACGGCAGTGCGTAATAAAACAGTTTAATTCAATATTTCGTTGAAGTCATTTTGCTTTCAAAAAGTCAGAAATTAATAGGCATTGACAAATTAGTAATAATTATTGTTTCGTCTCTGTCGCGTTCCAGTATCATTTGTGTATAATTTCAGCCAAAAATAGATTTAATTAATTGGCTTTTTAAATTACTGTTGTTACAGTTTCGTTGTTAATGAATATCTTTATATGAAATGTTGAGTGAGTATTTTCTAAGCAAAACTAAAAATATGTAGGTTATACAGAACCCAGGTCTACAAAATTGAACTTTTTGACAGATGTTTTTAATTTGAAAACTGATCTTATATAATTTTGGTAGGCTGATTTAAAATTCTATGCATTTATTTGTCTCACGTAAGGTTTTTTTACAAATATTAAAATAAATAAAACGGTATTTCTAAAATAATTTATTTTTTTATTCTGTAAAAAAGTGGAATCCTAGTTAAAAGAAGTGAAAAAAAAAAACACTTTACTCAGACTTTTTTTAGTGAAATCTTTGTCTTTTTGCCAGAAATTTGCGTTGTCCCGGACATTCGGCTGTATATTTTTAAGAGCATATCCCATTTTAACCTCCAGCAGTAGTCCGCCATTATCGTTATGATCCATCTGCCTTGGTATCGCCGTTCCATTTCCTTAATGTCCTGGTGAAGCCTCTCTCCCTGTTCTTCGCTAACTGCTCTCAGATTTTCAGGAAAACAGTTCAAGTGTGAAAACAGGAAATGCACTTTTAATAATTTCGTAGTTTTTGTCCTTAGAGTTCCCAAGAAACTTATCAATTACTTCTGTTCTTATCCGCGACCCGACAAAAATGCCTTCTTTTATCTTGGTTGGAAATTTCTTGCACAAATATTTGTCTAGGGCTTTGTCTAGGGCTTTAACAAACTGTTTCATCAAGGCAACTTTGATATGAAAAGAAGGCAGCAAAACTTTTTTGGGGTGAACTAAGCTATCTCTTTTTTCTACCAGGTGTGAAGTTTTTTCTAGAGGGCCATTCTATTTGAGTCCAGTGTCTATCTCTTGCCAGATTGTACCACTCACAAATAAAGCGTGGAAATTTTGTATAACCTTCCTGTTGTCCTAGGAGTATGCACAGTATTTTAAGGTCAACATAAAGCATCCATTGATGTTCTTGGTAGTTTATTTTCTTCAAAAGAAGTTCTAAATTTTCATACGTTTGTTTTAAATGTACCGAATGTGCAACGGGAACCACTACCATTGCGCAATAAAACATCTTTTAAACTGTGCTTAATTGAATGAACAAACAGGCGCTAATCTTTTATCTTTTTACGGCACGATGTCAGAACGCTAACAATTCGGATGCATCTTTTGGAAGATGCAAATCTCTAACGAAATCATTAATTCCGCTCTGGTCGGAATTAGATTCCTCTAATTCTGACGATATGACGTTTTCTAGTTCTTTTGGGGCGATAGGTATCGGTACATCTGGTCCATAAGGAACTCATGTAATAGCAGAGTCAAGATTGGGATACACAATTTGTTTCTTATTATTTCTGTTGATTCCTTGAACATTACACGAACAAAAATAACAATCCCCACTGTGATTCCTAGGCTCTCGCCATACCATAGAAACACCAAAGCTTAAACATTTCTTCCTACCTTTTTGCTAATTTCTTAATGCTTCAACTCAAATGGAAGAAACAGTATGAGGAGCCCAGGACTTGTCTTGGTCGCCAATTCTTACGCCAAAATGAGCGTGGTATACATTTTTCACAAAATAAGTTATTGGGATTTTTCACACAATGTTTTCCTTCCATATTTATACGTTTTAGAACACCAGAAAACATCAACAGCGAACACCAATACAGCCAAACTGCGCATTTTCAGGTTACAACGCTGTACTGACGCTTCTGCGCCAACTCTGTTGGTTTGCAGAGAAATCTAATACTACCCAGTGTTGCCAAATCACATTTAATTTCATAAAAAGCAATTCATTTAAAAATCATGCATAAGATGCAACAAACCTATTCATGTCATAATATTAATAAAATAACATTTTTAAGTTATAGAGAGCTATAAAAAATGACGTGATAGGGCAAAAACATGGCGTTTTTTGTAAAAAGGGGCTCCAAAAATTTACAAATAAGCAAACAGCTTTCAAACATCAAAATCACTGTAGACCTGCGTAATTAATATCAGTTAACTAACAACTAACAATTATTGATGATTGATGTATTACCGGAAGTGTCTGCTATCATAAGAATAATTTAGCCAGTTATTATCTAGTAACAATAATAATTTTCAAATGTTCATAGTTATCTCATAATAAATAGATGCACGCAGGTTCCGACGAATCCCTGTTTATAAACTGAAAAATAGTAATACATATTTTAATCTCCGCATTGTGGGGGAAGCTTGACTTATAGTGCAGTTCCGTTTTCAGTCCTACAGGATTTTAGCTGATGGAGTCGAGACGGGAGTGAGGATTTGATCCGAATAATAAGGTCTCACGATAAACCGAGATGGTGATTTTTAAAGAGACAGAAACATGAATGCCCTTAATTCGGCTGCTGCAAATACCCTGTTTGCGATAGGACAGACTATAATATACATAATCTACTTATTTAGAGCTCTAATAATTGTAATTATGAACCACAGTTGGAATGGAATATGAACAATTTGCTTTCATGTACTACACATCCAGGGCTCGCATAATTTAGGAACTGTTAAACCAACTTTGCAAACGTTACGTCAATAGTAGTTAACAAAGACAAATAGACCATTGCTAAACGTTCACAACTTTTACTTTCGCCTTGAATATAAATTTAGTCATTTTCCCGCCATTATCTTTTTGTTAATTGCATAGCAGTAAAGTATGTGTTAACTCCAATTTCGCTTTTGTCTTTAATTACCTGTGCCAGGAAACGAGCCGAAACAAATTAAATCGTTTTCCTCACTAAATCTTGATAATCTTCGGAATTGGAAGAATTCAGACTGCAGACGGAATAATGATTTATTCTTTGCTCGTTACTAGATAACGGTTGCCCGCGTAAAAAAGAAAGTGGTTTGGTTTAAAGTCCGTTTGAATTACAAGCATTCGCAATTTGTTATGCTTACGTTTAGGTCTATCTAGATCCCGTTAGATATACGTTTAAAGTATCATCGGTTAGTGTCTTACTGGGTTAGAATCAGATCGTGTACTTTATGTGGTTGTAGTTGAAAACAATTTCTGGCTAATGTGACATTTATTTCAGGATTTTGAAACTGCTTCTAATTTCATAAGAATTAACCAAACCGCAGTTACTTTAAGTGGGGGGTCGGTAACTTTATGTCTAGTATAATAATAATACCTTTGGTGCTTGATTTATCAAAAGAAAACTCTTTCGAGAAGAGTGCTTAGATAACCAATAGGTGGATGCATCTTCCTAAAAATATTCGAAAGCACACATTAATTTGCCTTGTCCGAGCTTCTACATCTATCTTTGTATGAATTTTCAGAAAACCGTGTTACGTCAATAACAAATTTTTACGTGCTTGAACCGTGTAGCCAGGCCAACATGAAAAAATTGGAGCATGCGCGAATAATTTCAAAACTCGCTTTTAATCACTAGGGCGTTCAGCAATGAACATGGCCGCCGACACATATCCCTTCAACACCAAAACGATATAGATTAACACAATTTCTCTTAGTATGAGCACGGTGATGTTTATTATTCCTGTTTCTTTCTTAGGTGTGTACACAGCTTAACGAAAATTCCGTTCTACTACCATATTGGTTGTCGTTCGGTAGTAGAGAAAAGTTCATGTTTCGCCGTTTTCTATTTTCGGTTAGATTTGAAATAGAATTTCTTTTCCGCGATGTTTGACTCCAAATGAAAATCTTGATATGCCGAACACGTGCTTGCGCTCATAAATATTCATAAACAGAAAGGTATCGGTATTTGAAACGTGCGTTGCTGCGTGGAATTTCTTTCCTCCTGTTCTATTATTAATCAGAGACAATTTCATCGTAATTTGTATGAGAAAAAATAGTAA